TATCTAAAGAGCCAGGGTTTCCAGACAGTCCTCCACTTAGAACATAACCTCCAAGTCCAGGCAGATCTACAGTAGGGTTGGATATTGTTTTACCGACTGGAAACAATCAGCTTGAGGATTAGGGGATGAATGTTGCCATCCAACTGAATTTAGCATCAAGTGTTACAGGAACCCCCATGCGGACCCTTTTTTCAGACTGGACCTCTTTTTCCGACCCCTAGACCAGTCCAGACTGGACCTCTTTTTCCACCAACCCGAGCCGAGATGTCACGAGTTTTGGCGGTTGAGCCGAGAGTACACGAGGTTGGCGGTTGAGCCGAGATGACACGAGGTAGGCGGTTGAGCCGAGATGACACGAGTTTTGGCTGTTGAGCCGAGATGTCACGAGTTTTGGCTGTTGAGCCGAGATGACACGAGTTTTGGCTATTGAGCCGAGATGACACGAGTTTTGGCGGTTGAGCTGAGATGACACGAGTTTTGGCTATTAAGCCGAGATGACACGAGTTTTGGCGGTTGAAAATTCAGACGAACTCGAGTGCGTGAGCTCCCACTGCCCGCAACTTGTGATGACAATAGCAGATGACCTCTGGGTCAAGTGAGGTCAGGGGTCGTGTATTGTGCATCTAATTAATCTATTTGATCTGTCGCCCAAATAACTACGTTTATAAGCGGTACTTACTACTTGTGGTAGTACTGGGAGTGGTAGTTGTAGTGGTTGTTGTCGGAGCTGTACAAGGGATAAATACCATAAAATACTTCAGGTAATAATAAATTTGAGAATCATCTATCATGTACTTATTTTCGGATTAAAAAAAACATAAATAAAATCATTTCGGGTATAATCTATCATGCAGATAGACTCATATTTTTTTTACAAAAAAAAATTGAACAGCTGACAAAATGAATTCATCCAAACGGAAACGAAACGAACAAAGGAGACCATCCCTACCTGCTGAGGTAGTAGTTGGGGCAGAAAGTGAACACCCGCCCAGGTGACAGTTATAGCAACACTTGATGTCGTTTCCGTAGTCCGGACACTTGCCGGTTATATAGTAGCCGTGAGGACAGCTGTCCACGTGCGCACACTGACCGTACTGACCGTTAGAGCCCTGGCTGTCCTTACAGTCTGGGTCAACTGCGAGTGGACACGCGGTTAAGTGAGTGATCTCTAGCTAGAGCATAGCGCACGTAGTTTGTAACGTAACTTTGGACATTATTTTTTTAGAAAACCCGAGCCATGAACATATTTTTTCGCATGGATGCTCTCAAATGTCTGATTCATATATAATGCATTTTGTGTACAGACATACCATTCGTTTTTTGTTCACTACATTGGCTGCATGTTTTAATTTGTTTTGTTGCTTATAAACGGTACTTACTGCCTGTAGTAGTACTGGGTGTGGTGGTTGTAGTGGCTGTTGTCGGAGCTGTGGTTGTAGCGCCGGCTGTTGTCGGAGCTGTGCAGAAAATAAGTATCATATGAAAATACTTAATAAAGTGACAATCAATTTGATAGTCATCCAATGTGTAGTTATATTGTTACACAAAAACACAAGATCTAACAGCTAACATCAAAATCGCTTGTTGTTTATAAACCGTACTCACGCCCTGTTGTAGTAGTACTGGGGGTGGTGGTCGTAGTGGTTGTTGTTGGAGCTGTGCAGAAAATAAAATATTTAGGTAATACTAATAGGTAATGATTAATTTGATAATCATCTCCCATGTAGTTATATTCGTTGTTTTTAATTGAATAGGGAGGCGCTTGATATCTCTCCTCCTTCTAAACCACTTCTTTTCTTAAATATGTTGATGTTATTACATAAGGCCACACCGATTTAATTTTATGGATGACATCCTCTGAAGACCACCAAACTAGTGCGCGCGGGCGAATAAAAAAAATAGTCCATGGCTAGTTGGGCAACCCTGGATGTTGTAAGCCTAACTAATAAATAAACAAAAAGAATAAAGAGGAAGCTACGCCCACCTGGTGTGGTAGTAGTGACAGGAGGAGGGGGAGGGTAGGAACAGCCGCCCAGGTGGCAGTTGTAACAGCACTTGACGTCATTTCCGTAGCTGGGACACCTGTGTGAGATGTAGTACGTGTATGGACAGCTGCTGGCGTACACGCACCGACCCGACTGTCCGTTAGCAGCGACGCTACCCGTGCACTCAGGGTCAGCTGCAAGATGGAAGATCGAGGTAAGGCCACACCAAGTAAATTTTATGGATGACGTCCTTTCAAGACCCTAAATCTAATGCGAGAAGGCGAGAAAAAAACAAAAACAAGAAGGGCCCTAAAAACAAGATGCCTAGATTAGAAATATACTAAGAGACGACAAATGTTAGGACACAAATTGAATGAGGTGACACAGTGTAACAAGCAAGAAGTCTTTTATTCATCATCAAAACAGCAATAAATCAGGTGGAACAGCAGTTGTCGTCCTGTCCTGTTTTCGCGTTACGGGTTTTCACGTCAATCTAACGATTTGCGGCACTGTCGTGACTCTTTGGTCATAGTTACAGGAAGCGGAATTTCTTGTTTTTTTTTAAATAAAAAAAATTGCCTTTGGCAAAAAAAGTTGCATTTATTATGAAATCTACGTGGTCATGATGGTTGAACAAATGACTAAACACACAGAGTATGGTATGGCGAATAATAGAACCTTCATTTTAATTCATTACTTCACATTTTCCTCTTTTGTTTTGGAATTGATTGTGGCATTCTAAGACATTAGTATCATTCTTCAATGTCTTTTTGCAATCGTCGACATATATTTGCTAATTTTTTTTTACGATTTGTACGATTTCCAGTATGGTCTAATCTTTTTTTTTTTGGAAACGGCCGAAAATTTATGCGCGCGCGGATGTCATCCATATAATCAAATCAACATGCCGGTCACAACCCGCCGTACATGTACGTGCTTCTGCGTGCTGTCTACGTGCAAAAATGTGGGCAAACGTAGGGCATCCGTGCGTGGTGAGTATCGCCTCCGTACGGAATCCTACGGATTTGGGAGCACGCAGACACGCCGTAGAACTTTAAGTGCATGTAAAGCGACGGTCACAACTCGCCGTGCGTGCTTTTTGTCCGTACGTTTTTGTCGTGGCTACGTCTGCTACGTTTTTTCTGCAAACGTAGGGTGGCCGGCCGAGGGAGTACGTCACTCGCAAGGTGTACGTACGTGGTCTGCACGACACGCCTGGCCGTCAGCGGTTGCGTGCATCGTACGTTGCGCAAGTGGTAAGTGAGTTGTACGTGCTTACAACGCACGATCTCTGTGCGATTGCTACGTTGCCGCGTACAGGCCGTACCTACACGTGCGGCGTACGCACGGTTTACTTACTCACTCGCACGTTGTAAGTGCGTGCACCTCCTGTTAACTTCATCATCATTAGCCGCCCTGGTGTCTTCCGCGGCCCGTTTCTTTGGGTCTTGTCTGGTAGTCTTCTTCTGAGCCTTCCTGGGCATCTTGGAGACGAGTTGGCAGCCGCCCGTCAAGTTGTCTTTATATACTGTAGAGATCAGGTGCGTTGCACGTACGTTGCACGTGCGTTGCACGTGCGGAGCACCTGGTATGGTGCACGTGTGTTCTGCGTGGTCATTGAGCAGGTCAACTGGGAAGTGAGGAGTAAGCACGGATGACGCAAGCACCGTGCGTGGCACGCACGTGCTTCGTGCGCTGTCCGTACAGCAATTGCACGTGAGAATAGTGAAGTTAGACTCACGGAGTCCGTACGTTGCACGCTCATAGGCTGTACGGGGCACGCGCGTCGCACGTACTCGCACGCACGGGTGGTAAATCCGCAGACCGCACGTAGAAAAAGTATTACATGCACTTAAAGTTCTACGGCGTGTCTGCGTGCTCCCAAATCCGTAGGATTCCGTACGGAGGTGGTACTCACCACGCACGGATGCCGTACGATTGCCCACGTTTTTGCACGTAGACAGCACGCAGAAGCACGTACGGCGAGTTGTGACCGAGGCTTAAAACTTTTTCTGCGTGCGGTCTACGGATTCACCACCCGTGCGTGCGGGTACGAGCGACGCGCGTGCCCCGTACGTGCCGTACGGAAGAAGCACGTGTGAGTACGGCCTCCTTACGGTAAAGTTGCAATCGCACAGAGATCGTACGTTGTAAGCACGTACAACTCACTTACCACTTGCGCAACGTACGATTCACGCAACCGCTCCCGGCCAGACGTGGTGTGCAGACCACACTCTTACACCTTGCGAAACCGTGTGAGTGACGTGCGAGTGACGTGCGTAGACGCCACTGCTTCCCCACGTTTTCAGAAAAAACGTAGCAGACGTAGCCTCCCAAAAAACGTACGCACAAAAAGCACGTACGGCGGGTTGTGACTGAGGCTTTACTGAACTCATAAGCATACGCACACACACACACAAGCGCATGCTGGTCACAAGTGTATGTTGAAGACAGGTTTCTAACAAACGGAAACAACTTGATCCACTTACTGCCCAGAGCACCTCCCGCCAGAGCCAACATCACCAGAAACAGCATCTACAAAAATGGGAAGAACAACAATAGAAAGATACCGCAAGTGATTCTAGATACAAGTCTTGTTTTGGAAAGTTTCACTTGTTTGCCGTAAGCTGATTTGACCTACTCAAGTACAAGTAAGGTTTGAATGAGATTAAAATTTCCTGTGCAGACATAGCACATGTTACTGAATAATCTAGAAAAAAATTGAGACTAAGAAGTTACAATACATCTCTCCCATTATAAACGACTGAATGATGTTACAATTAACTGTACTTATTGAAATGCCATGATGGTCCATGTGTGTTTGACATTGAAGCAAAGTACCCATAACCTACTAGCTTTAGAGCTGGGTAGCCCATTAGAATAGCCTATTCCTAGACAGTAGCCAGGTTTCAACAATAGTACCAATAATTTCGACCAAAGGAACATAGACTGGTAGAGAAGCTAAACATATACATTACGTAGGTTAAGTTAGGCCACACCGTCTTAATTTTATGGATGACATCCTCTGAAGACCCACAAACTAGTGCGCGCGGGCGAATAAAAAAATATTCCGGCCAAAAATAAAAATGCTACTAAACCACAGGAATAAAAAGCTGGTATTGTGAATTTACGGCAGTACATAGCGACAAGTCGGCACATGCACATGCTGACTTTTTGCTGCATTTATGAATCGACACTGTACGTATGTACTGATCAAGTTGAGTCGTGGAGCTTCGGTAGCCTGGGCGCCATCCTCCAGAGTTACCACCGGCTCCGTATTGTAGGTAGCTAAAATGGACTACCCAGGCCTAGAGCCAGGCCAGAGCCTCGGTGGACGTGATCTTTTTTTTTTTTTGAGAACAGGCGAAAATCAATGCGCGCGCGGATGTCATCCATAAAATTAAGTCGGTGTGGCCTTACCTTGTTAGTTGCCGATCGGCTACGGTTTCTGCTCCTTCTGCTTGTGCGAGTGTTGAGTGGGGCTGGTTCCTCGGTCACCCTGACCTCACCTTATATACTAACTTCTTATCCGGCTCATCTGGTCATTTCTCACAACAAGTTCTCATCAGCACTTCTTCACTATCTGAGTAAGCACGTTATCAGATTTTGGGCTATCTATTGTGTGTTTTTATATTTTAAAGTAGATGTAAAATAAATAGATCTATCTCATTGATTAATTACATTGAAGCAGGAATAACCGAACTTAAACAACACACCTGCATATTTCCGGAAGCTTCCCACGATGATTGTTTATTTGGAAGATGTTTGTGATATGTACATAGCATGCGTCGTCATCAGTTGCTAGTATCAAATATGTATACAGATACTGCAATTGCAAACACAGTAATATGCAAGTCATTGTTTGCTATTACAGTAGATGATATCTTAAGGCCACATACAACTTAAGGCCATTACTGTGGAAAATCAACCTGTGTCTAATGAATACAATAACGTTAACCTCCAAAGACATGTCAAACTATGCCTAACATTCTTCATTGTGTAAATTTAATTTGTCCTTAAGAGTGGATGAACCATATTTATGTTTACAGACGGAAAACTTATTGTTTTTACTCAGTTTCTTCTTCTTCTTCTCCAAACAGTGACCTATGACCTGACCAATGACATGATTTGTTGACGTCTGTCACCATGGTGACTGCATGGTGTTGGTGTACATAATGTTGCAATTTCACGGTCTGCTCTGCTCCTGTCACCATATACTAGTAGTACATGTATGTGAATGTGTTTGAGTAAGAATTAACCGAGCAGACCATGTCTGAAGGTAAACATTATGCATTTGCTTTGCAAATGTTACCTTTCTAGTTTATTATTAGTTGTCCCTCTTAAGAATATCATAAAGAACGGAGTTTAAGCGCCTAAATTAGCCATACCTAAACCAAAACAAAAGCGATAAACAAAAACTCACTAGAATTGAGGGACAAACTTCTTGTAGTTAGATAGAATGTAATGAGTTTTTGTTGGTACAAATTAAGTTGAAACGTACTACCATACCTCATATGACTTTACAAATGCTTCTTATCTATGTATTATCTAGTCTCATGGGAGAAACTAAGGTGCTAAAGGTACAGTAATCTTTTTTTATATTCCAACCTTTCATGACTAGACATGGTGACGGCACACTCAAGTTATATCAACTTATTTTATGCCGCCACCAACGCAGAGGACAAATACAGGACAGGACAATACTACATGACATTTTCACTCGAGGTAAGTGAAGAAGGTAATTTATATGTTCACTTTAAACAAAGAAATAACAATACCAGAATAAAGACAGGAGCTCTTTAATAATTCATCTTCAAACAAAAGTTTTATTAAAAGGTCACAATTATCAATAATTTCATAATCACAAACGAAGATGTTCAGAGGACGAAATCTTGAGTCCTTGTCCCTTCAGCCACTGACGACGACATTGCCCAAGTCATCTTCGGGGGTACCTAAGTGGTAAATGTTGAAACATCATAGTTATTATTATTAAATACTTGTATGCAATCGCCACACATAGACTATATGAATATCCGTTATTTGCATGATTATTATGTTTACCGAAGGAAAACATATTGTTTTTGCTCCATTTCTTCTTCTGTTCCAAACACTAACCTCTGACCTGGCCAATGGCCTCTTTTGTTGACGTCTGTCACCATAGTAACTGATGTTGGGTTACATAATGTTGCAAATTCATAGTTTTTAGATTCCTGCCACCACATAAATGTACGTGAATGTGTTTGAGTAAGAATTAACAGAGCAGACCGTATCCGAAGGTAAACATTATGCATTTGCTTTGCAAATGTTACTATCCTTACTGCGCTCTCATTGGTTAAATCCGAAATGACGTTATAATCAATCCCATAAAAGGAGGTAGTAGACGGAGCACACTGCCATTCTTCCTTGGATCCCTCCGCAACACTTTGGGGAGCGGGTTACGCTCCGCCTACGTGTCTCCAGCGCGGCCCGGCGAGAACAGCTCGGCGGGGCAGCACGCGGCAGCCCCCGAAGTCGCCTCGCGTCTCCAGCCGGCTACCCAAGGACTCTAGTGGAGAAGGCTGGACATTGAAGGCGGCATTGTTCACTTTACAGTCGAGTGGTTAAGGACTGTAAGGTTTTCCTTTTGGTGTTTTTTGTGGGGGCAACAGTTTTGCGAGGCACGTGGTATCGAGGATTTTAGAGCGTTGTATTTCTAATTTTATGTACTGTTCCTGTGCATTGTCTCTCGCTCGCCTTTGCTAAGGTTCTAGGATACCTACAGGAAATCGAGAGAGGCCAGCACCAGGGGCGATATTGATGTTTTTCTGTCTTGTTTTTGCAGCGTCAGACATTGTCTGCAAGAATGTCAGGGCGGGACTCCGCACCTGGGTGATTTGCTTCGGTATGGGTGGTAGAGCGTTGCCACGAGGCGCCGTTTTTCGGTTTCTCTTCTGTGGCTGTCTTCCTCGCTTCTTTTTGTTTTCAGTGTGCTAGTGCGGTTTGACGACAAGGGAAGGCCGAGAGAGAATGCAGGTCCACGAACAACATGGGTGTTTTTCCTTCTTTGTCTGTATTTCCAGCGTCAGAGAGCGGAATTCATCGGTAGGAATTTCAGGGCGGGAATTTGCACGTTTGTGATTTGCATTTCTATGACCGACGCGTCCGGCGTTCTTTCCGGTGCCCACTTATTCAATCCATTGGCGTTTTCTTTGTTTTCCAATCAGTACGACTTTCTCGAGACCAGTTTGGTCGACACACTCCCTAGGCGCTTACGTGAAGGACGTGTGAATTGCCTCGCCCATCGCAGCAGCCAGTATCGCGGGCTCAGCCAGGCGCAGGCTGGACAACAGAGCGACGCCAAGACAGGAGGGCCTCCAATTTGCAGGCTCTAGTCTCCGTTTAGGGAAGGTTTGTGGGATTCAAGGCGGTAAGGTCTGTAGGTTTGTGGGTACCATTGTACTGGCGCCCCTGCTTTGCATTTCTGTACCTTGCTTTTTGCACGGAGCATGCTACCTTTTTATGTTTGTTGGGTGGTGACACATGTAGGGGAGTAACACTTAATGTAATAGCGGGAGGAACAGCTCGGGTTGAGTCTCCGTGCATTGCGTCCCATGTTAGGAGTCGTTCTTTCCGCATGGAGGGGACTCGCCCGGGTTGGGGGAATGAGGTCCAATTTTGTGCAGCTGAATTGAATTTTGACGGCAGTTTATGTTTTTGTACAGGCCACCATACTCGATGCTTCCCCCGGCAGCTGCTCAAGGCTCATCAAGACAAGGACAACCAGCTTCCCACCTCCCCCAACCCGGGCAAGGAACGACACGCCGACTTCTCTTGTAGATAAGCGCGACCGAGAATGAGATCATTGTCTTGCTTGTATGTGGTTTATCGCTTTGTGTCATTTATTGGTAGGAGTTTTCGGCTGTTTGTTCTTCTTTTTATAAGTGAGAAGTTTTTCAGGCCGCGTTCCGTTTGTATTGACATGTAAATTGGACGACATAGTCGTAACAGCTTTTGTATGTCGGTGTCTGTCCAGGCACCTGGTTTTGATATTTGCATTTTTGTGTGGGCATTGTTCGACTCTATTAATCGTTGTTATTCAAATAGAGCGTATGCGTGTGTACGGGCATCCGGGGCTGCACCTCGTGCTGTCTTTTGCCACAAGTTATGTGGAGACAGACGGGGCGTAGCTACCGGGCGTGCATAGCAACAAATATCCTGTGTGTACGGGCATCCGGGGCTGCACCTCGTGCTGTCTTTTGCCACAAGTTATGTGGAGACAGACGGAGGGTAGCTACCGGGCGTGCATAGCAGCAAATATCCTGTGTGTACGGGCATCCGGGGCTGCACCTCGTGCTGTCTTTTGCCGCAAGTTATGTGGAGACAGACGGGCGTAGCTACCGGGCGTGCATAGCAGCAAATATCCTGTGTGTACGGGCATCCGGGGCTGTACCTCGTGCTGTCTTTTGCCACAAGTTATGTGGAGACAGACGGGCGTAGCTACCGGGCGTGCATGGCGGATGCAAGGCAAGAAACACTGAGCATGTACGGGCTTCCGGGGCGTGCATTGGGTTGTCTTTTGGCACCAGTAGGTGCAGACACCCGATTGCCGCTACCGGGCGTGCACGGCGGAGTGTTACTAGCGGGGTGAGCCAATATATGTTGTTAATAAGGAAGGGGGAAAGAAGGAATTGGCTCACGAAGCGACGACCCCCGTGACGGGGAAGCAGTGCGCATGCACGGGCTTCCGGGGCGCGCATAGAGTGGTGTCGTTTGGTACCAGTAGGTGCAGACACCCGGTGGTCGTTACCGGGCATGCTTGTCGGAGTGTCACTGGTGTGGTGAACCGATACAAGTTGTTAATAAGAAAGGGGGAAAGAAGATAGCGGTTGACGGCTCGCGGGACTGGGAAGCCTGGCGGACCAAGTACCGTCAACGTTCAACTGAATGGCAGGAGATAAGAGGTCGTTGTGGGGCTCACAGGGCAGAAAACCCCAAAGGAAGGCTGACAAGCCTTGTATTGGGTGGTACAGAGCGAGAGGATCACCCTTGTGGGGTGAGCCACGAAGTGGGCGCGTGTCCAGGGCAATCTTCACCCCTGTTTGGCAGAAGAAATGACTCTGTCGACATTGTGCTAGGGCACCGAGGAATGAAGGGACGTGGCCCGAAAAGAAGCCAATGTTAGGTTAGAAAGGTCCTTCGACCAGCAAGTGGCCGACTACATGTACATCAAGGTGTAAAAAGGGTAGTGCGGGTCCACTTGGACTGGAGAGCTAGTGACTAACCGCAAGTGCAGCTTGCACAACGACAAGACACAGAGTCCACAATAGGAAGGACCCCTCCCCATCCAAGTTGGAGCACCATCGGTCTAGAATCGACAAGCTCTGCCGTATCTGTGGGCTTTGTGAATCTTGTGCACTTAGGTTCGAGAGGTTGGAATGGAAGCGGAGCTTTGCGTAAGGAACGCAGGAAAGGATAAGTAATGGAGGAGAAATGGATGAGGAAGGGTATGAGAAGTGGATGAGAAAGGGAAGTTTGGATGAGTGAGGGTATGAGAAGTGGATGAGAAAGGGGAGTTTGGATGAGAGAGGGTATGAGAAGTGGATGAGAAAGGGGAGTTTGGATGAGAGAGGGTATGAGAAGTGGATGAGAAAGGGGAGTTTGGATGAGAGAGGGTATGAGAAGTGGATGAGAAAGGGGAGTTTGGATGAGAGAGGGTATGAGAAGTGGATGAGAAAGGGGAGTTTGGATGAGAGAGGGTATGAGAAGTGGATGAGAAAGGGGAGTTTGGATGAGAGAGGGTATGAGAAGTGGATGAGAAAGGGGAGTTTGGATGAGAGAGGGTATGAGAAGTGGATGAGAAAGGGGAGTTTGGATGAGAGAGGGTATGAGAAGTGGATGAGAAAGGGGAGTTTGGATGAGAGAGGGTATGAGAAGTGGATGAGAAAGGGGAGTTTGGGATTTTAAGACAGGAAGAGAATTCGGTGTTGAGGACGCTGATGGAGATGCAGGGAAGACAGGGTAGGGTGGCGCGACGAAGGCACTGCCCCATAACTAATGAAGGATGATCCAATGATTGCGCAGTATGGATAGGCAACTATCCTTACTGCGCTCTCATTGGTTAAATCCGAAATGACGTTATAATCAATCCCATAAAAGGAGGTAGTAGACGGAGCACACTGCCATTCTTCATTGGATCCATCCGCACCGCCGGGGAGCGTGGTGTCGGCCGGTCCTTGGGTAGGGTGGTGTTGAGGGGAATGGGTGTAGAGAAGCAAATTTGAAAGATGAATGATACTTAAATACCCACCCACCCCACCCAGGTCTTGGAACAGAGTCTAAGACTTCTTGACATCCAGAGGACTGGCCACGCCGCGCGACTTCGGCACTGCCCCATAACTAATGAAGGATGATCCAATGATTGCGCAGTATGGATAGGCAACTTTTCTAGTTTGCATTAATTTCTATTATGGAAACAGAACGAGAAATTCACAAAAACTGTAATATTTCACGACTGTCTACGTTAAAGGCATATGCATCCAATGCGATTCCAGGGCAGCAAAACTGGAAATATGCTGAATAAGGCAGTCTTTAATTATGATATTGACACATACTGCTTCACATTAGCACATTTGAACCAGTGTTTCATACTTTGGGTATTTAAAACTGCGCATGCAGAAACAAGCCCCAAGATGAGTCTTTCATTTTCTGTATGGTACCCTAAAATCAGCCCAGGGCCCTTCCAGTAACCATTTTCCGTCAGAATTTTGGTAATTCTTGCAATATACATTGGGATAGTGTGGTTTCAACTCAGTATGTAGATAAATGACTAGAATATTGGTTTTGGAAAATCGGGTTTTCAACCCCTAAAAACTGCATTGGATTGAAGAAATCGTCGCACGCGTACTTACCTATGTTCAAGCCCCATCTGTTGGCCTTGTATGTACCGGTGAAAGACGACACGGGGCCGAACAGTCCTCGGACGAACGTCAGCATCCCCACAGTGTTACACCCGCCGGTGTCAGTGCCGTAGGCACACGCTGGAGCGCCCCCTGTCTGACCTGAATGGCGCTGCACATTGTTGACGGAGCCACTGCGCACAGTCACATCACTCTGCTCTAGATGATATGCAACCTGCGAATGATGTCGTTCAGAAAACACGTTAGAAGCTGAAAATATGTAGTTTTCTTTGTTAATATTTCTTTCAGTTATCATATCATATCATATTATCAAAGTTTTTACATTCTTCAGAATTCTTAAAACATTTTAGTCTTACGAGCAGTAATATACTTCCCTGCAAACAAGTATTCTTAACCAAAGGATTCAGAATTATGTGCAATATTATATGTCTTTGTGAGCGTTTTAAAAACAAATTGTCTGTAAATTGACTACAATTCAGTGATATTTTCAGTGCGATAGCTCAATAAAGATATCTTGAATCTGAATCTTGAATCTAACATAAAAATAAAAAAAATAATTGGACATTGAATGTCAGAAATAAACATCATTTCTTACCAGAAGAACTTCCTGCACTTCCACGTCCTCCGGTAGGTGGAGCACCCAGTTGACCGGCTCGTACGAGCTCAGCACCAGGACCAGGGGTTTGGAGACCTGGCCTGCGGAGACGAACACGTCCATCTCGGGTGCAAAGGTATGTGTAGGGTCGTGCCCGAAATCGAACATCCTGGAATATGACAACCATTAGAATATTGTGCTACTACATATGTATGATGATCATGTCTAGTACAATCGCGATTGCATATTAGTTCATGGACAAAACATAAAGACTAATTACACACACAAAAAGAAACAGTCACTCATTAAAGCAACTGCATATGGTTTTGGTCAGACGTTTCAGGTAGCATCCACTATCTTTCGTCAGTGACAGTAGAGAACTTGTGCAAAAAAGGCAGGTTTAGTATTAAGCAAGAACTATTTATTGATAAAGACTACTTGTCTCTTCTTAGCTTTCGTCTGCATAATTTGTATCAACTGATACAATTGATGACATACTAGTACCTTGTTCAGATCAGTAGTACTACTAGAAAGACGTCTATTGAAAAGATAACGTAGAGTTTTAACTATTTACGATTAAAGGACTATGCAGAGAAAAGTATCAAAATTCTTATTTTTCCTCAGAAAAATGCAATCATACGATTTAAGTAGTCTTTGATGTGAGAATACTGCAAAAAAGATTTAGAACAACTTTTGTGTGGGACAGCATTGTAAAATTTGGGTCTGTAGTCTGTACACACCCTGTGGGTCCGACTCCCTCGTACACGCCCAGCACGTGTACCTCATACTGTCCGTTATCGTCAGCTACACAGCTGTACGTCTCTCTGGGCACCAAGTCCTGGAAGGCCTCCGCTAGGGCAGTGGAAGAACTGCGCCAAATTTCACAGCTTCCAACAACAGCTTTTTTTGGAGAAACACACGCAGTTAGTGTTTAAAGTTAAAGCTTTTGTTCCAACACAAGGGATTGTTCTCACCTAGAGCTTTCGACCTCAGGAGATATGTATTTTTAAAACAGGATAAAGAAATAAAACAAACAAACAAACAAACAAACAAACAGACCAGTCACTCTGGTCTTCTTTAATAGACTGACCCAGTGAGACTTGACACGTGACTTCTCTGAAGTGTGACGTCAACACTGGGTCAAAGGTATCTGGTACTGCCATGTCGGTTCCCGTTACCTTTGACCCAGTGTTGACGTCACACTTCAGAGTAGCCATATCACATGACAAGTCTCACTCATTGAGCCTAGTAATGAAGAAGACCAGAGTGACTGGCCGAAAGCTCTAAGTGAGAACAATCGTCTGTGCTGGTTCGTAAGTTTTAACTTCAAAATGTGACTACCAACATAGGTGAACTTTCATGATAGTACACGCAGTAAGTAACCATCCGGGATGAATGTAGTCTTGATATTCGAAGGGTACGTGTTGCTTAAGGCATAAACCAAGTACTGATTAAAAAAAATACAAGAAACGTTTGATATAATATATGTCTTGGCCGTTTGTTGAATCTGTGAAAGGGCATAATGTATAATTCAAGCCTTCGGAAATGCGTAGTGTACTTTTTATCAATCTGGTGCCAATGTGAAAATGTATTTCCATAATTTATTCATAAAAAAATCCACCAGATATGTGGAAGGGGAAGGAGAACAGGTGTAGCACCTTTTCCAGCTCCCGACCCAAATGTACATCAGTAAAAAACCCACTGAAGTCAACGTTGCATTAGAGTAATACATTATACAACATAGTAATACGATAACTCAAATTTGTTACAAATTACGTATACGTCTTAAGCCATGGTGATGTACAAGATCGTTGATAAACAGTATAAGGAGTTTGACTATTTGATTCTAATTCTTGACAAAACATTTTTCAGGTTTTCTTTTCGAATCTTGTTCCAAGTTCTCAGCTGACACAGAATCCATTGTTTTCTTCTTCTTAGAATTACAGGCAATGTCTACTTGGAATGTTTACTTACGTAGACACGTGTGTTGGTGGTAGTTTTCGTGGCTTGAGCACTGACAGAACCCATCAACACAACTGGCCCCGGTAATGTAAGACCCCACGCAGTACCCATTGCCTATGCAGGGGGTCCGGTCTGCCGTCGGAACGGAAACTTCCGCAGCTACGACCGGACCTAGCGGGAATAAACAAGATACTTAAAGAAAAAATAACATAAACTACGAGAAACGGACAAATTTCTATGTTAAAACAATTAGGAATAGTTGGATCTCTTCTAGCCTGGATTAAGTCTTACCTAATGATAGAATATAGCGTGCAGTATACGGTATGTATTCTAGGCGGGTACCAATTGATGTAGGTGTCCCACAGGGCACCCTCTTGGGCCCATTACTTTTCCTTGTTTTTATCTATGATTTATTGGATGATTTGGTAACAGATTGTCGCCCATTTGCTGATGACACTTCACTTACTGAAAGACGCATACACAAATGTGATGCTTATACATACATACGTGCACGCTCACACACACACGCGAACACACACATACATACGCATATTTTACGTTCAGACTTCAAACAAAAGGAAACACATTGATTTCACTTACTGGCAAAGGCACATCTTGCCAGAGCGAACATCACCAGATAGAGCATCTACAAAAGAACAAGATTGTTATTATTGAATAAAGAAGTACGCCTACCCCTAAACAATAGGTTTCAACAATATCAATAATTTGGATGTAATTTTGGACTGGTAGAGAAGCTGGAGATATAAAGAAGTTTATAAAGAAGTTTATTGCAAATTCATGCCCGGGGGGGCTAATTGCAGATTACAAACGTAAAAGAACAATGAAACGTAGTATAAAAGAACTAAAATCTACATGATAAAAGGTAGTTGTCTAGAGCTATAGCTATGTCTAAAACTATGTCTAAGGGGTTTGACTTCTGTTTTTTAGACCATGGAAGACGTAGTGTCCCACCTTTTCTAAAATTAATGGGTTTTGGGAAGTTAAAAGAAGAATAGTTTTTTCTTTGTCTGTAAGTTTAGTAAAATTGGGATAAATTGTAGAAGTTTGCATAGTTAACTCATTTCGAGCGTTGCTATGAAAGGAACAATTTGAGATCAAGTGTATTTCGTCTTCCACAGCCTTTGCATTACAATATTTACAAATTCTTCCACATACATGTAGCCTTCTATACCGGCCTCTCCCTATCTCCAGAGGATGGGCGCTAACTCTAATTTTGCTAATGATACCTTATGATATATACCTTGTAAGTTGCCTATCGACTGTTCCTGTCCCCGTGCTTCTTGTGCTACTGTGTATGGGGCTGGCCCTGTGTTCAACCTGTCGTCACTTTATATATAGTAAATTTTCACCCGGCTACATCTGCCTTTTCTCACAACAATTCTTTGTGTTCACATCTTTGATATCTGAATAAGGCCACAGCAAGTAAATTTTCTGGATGACATCCTCCGCAGACTCCAAATCTAATGCGCGCGGGCTAAAAAAACAAGACGGGCCGAAAAAAACAAGGTTCCTACATTTTGAAATTTTGACTCAATCATTGTACAAGTGGTTTTATTCAGCGGGAACATGACATATACACAGCCAGCATCACATATCACTGCATCAAAGTAAGAAACAAAACATTAAATCAGAGCCTTGTCTTGTCTCCTCTCTTCATAGTTATCTGCCATCCACCTTCCGGAATGGCAACAGACATCTTCGGCATGTTGACCACTGTCAGAAGGCAACAAAATTTCTTGTTTTTTTTTCCAAAATCAGGCGAAAATTAATGCGCGCGCTGATGTCATCCATAAAAATTACTTGCTGTGGCCTAAGTACGTTATCAGATATATAGTGCTGTATGTACATTATATAAATAGATGTAAAGTAAATAGATCTATACCATCAATTGATTAAACGTATGAGTAGCAGAACTTTATCAGCACACCTGCCTCTGTCCGGAAACTTCCCACAATAATTATTTACTTGAAATGTGATCGATATCTGAATAAATGAGTTGTTATGAAAATTATCGAATGTGTATAAAGGTACTGCAAACACAGTAATATACATCTGTCATTAATATTGTTTGCTGTAGATGATATGCATCATCAACATAATCTGTTGGAGAAAAATTGTGACCTCAAAAACAGGCAATGTTTATTAATAAAATTGGGATGAAATGAACTTTCTTGCACTACAAGGAATCCTTCCATGGGCATGGCAAGCACATTTATTGCAATTAACATGACGCTAGAGCTTTTTAAACTGCTTTAGGCTTTTGCGTGGTGACAGCCTTAGATCGTAAAATTTACCGTTTCAGTACTTTTACAGTACAGATTTTCTGTGGGTAAATGTCAAACTTTCATGAAGCCTCGTATACATTGATTAAGAATTGGTAGGGGCGTTAAACTTGAATATTTGCCTACAACGCACCACACTGTGAGATAGTAGTGTATTGTGGTTTAACTACAATCATGATTGACAAGAGCCTGACCATTAGACTAAGTGGAATAAATCCTGTGTCTGTATTTGTCAACCCGTGTAACACAACCCCTTTGCAGGCACGTGCAGACAGCTAATTTATGATATATATTGCAACATTGAAAAAAAAACATGTCCGTGCATACCAAACAACAGACACTGTTTGAATTCAGCTTATCTATCTGGGGGAGTTATCATTGGTTGTACCATATTTGATGATTAGATATCACACTTAATAATTTCACAATTGATGTGATATTAATGTCACAATTAATATCACATAAACGAACAGACATAGGCCCCTCGAATGATGACACCTAAACTTGTAATATATTCCCGTGGCTCTCATTAGTTGCAACTGTATCACTAACAGTTACTCATCATACACAACTTGTAGTCAGTTGACCTAACATCATCTGAAATATGCTTTTTATCTGATAAATATCTAACCCAAACAGAGACGGAGGACGATATAAACTCCCTAGCACGTTTGATCAATTGCTGACGTCACGTATCCGTAAAGTCTCGTGTGAATAAGGTCACGTGTCTGTAACCGTAACTCTCGCGAGATTACGTTTTGAAGTGATTAGCCATTCATTATCCTGATGAAGGTGGCAGTGGTCGTTGAAAATTTAAACTCTGTGTAGTTCTTGTGTTGGAATAAAGTTCAACATTTTACCAAATATCTAACCCAGTCAAACCATTAATTCTAGACAGAAAATCGTAAATTCCACTTGAAACAATATTGCTCATTTTATTCAGAGGTGATAATCATACATTTTTCATAATTTTTAATGGGGATCTGCACAGTATGCGTGATCCCAAAGGAACATGTAGATCTAGAAGCCTTGTCCCTTCAGCCACTGGGCGCGCGCGACGACGTCATTGGCGTAGTCACCGCCGGTAGTACCGATGTCCATCCCGGCGTAACTCTGCACGTTACCACAGCCGGCGTTGTACCCGGAAATTCCGCCTGACAAAGAGAAATGACCCGATCAATATCAAAGCCAATATGGTGCTTAGGCATGACACGACACACCTTGAATAACATGCATAAAACACAGGTCTTAAAGCAGAGGTTGAAGTAGGAAACCGTCATGTTTTCTAAAAAGCTAGGTTTCTCTTACACCATGATAGACAAGCCCGGCGGGCAGGCGAAAAACTCAGTGATTGTCTACCTAACATGTGCTGACCAGTAGTATTACATATCACAAGCAAACCAACATAAATTTGTCAAGTTATCAAGAAATTGGTGGAGTTCTAACATACGATATCTTATTACAGCGGTATGGTTTGTAAGCGTTTGGGTTTTGATGAAAATCCTTAGTATGTTAGTGATTTTGAACCTTCCCATTCTTGACCAATTACAATTATTCGCTGAGAAGTCTTAGTAATAGTATAACTGCCCCCCCCCCCATCCATGGGAAAACCGTGATACTAACCCTTGAGAGTCATGTTGTTATCCCAGTTCGGGTGGTTGCGCTTCACACAGTTGATGGTGTCGATGAGGATCTGAGTTCCCTGTTTGATGTGCTCGGTACTGTACGGACCGCCTACAGGAGTGTGGTAACGGTAGTCCACCTGGTAGGGTAACACAGAATTAGTCTGGTCTGGGGATTGCCTGTCTAACAATAGAAGCTTAAGCTAACTACAGAGGAGGCTGTGATTTCTTCTTATTCAGACAAGCTGAACGGTTACTGCCTAGGTGCTTAGTAGCCTCGTTTTCGCGCAGAACGGTGCATGACGAAAAACGATTTTCAAAATGGCGGCGACACTAGTCTTTTAGAGGAAGTTTCCTATCTTTTTCTGGGTTCTATTCTGAAACAAGATACTAAGTATGTGATTAGAGAAGCTACTCTCACAACCCGCCTAATTGTGACAAATTACGTTCAGTGTTTCCAAAGACATTATGTCCTTGGTGTTTCCAACTCATCTTCGCCCCCCTCCCCTTCGCACCTGCATGAGCCCGTATCCGTTCCCATGATCCCCCGTTCCGTCGGCGGCCAGTGCTGCGCCTGCGCGTGACTCACGGCTGATGATGGCGGCGATGACGGCGGCGTCCATGTTCTTGGCGTTTGCGGCGTTGAAGATTTGCGACTTGTAGTTGTTCAGGCGGCCCAAGTCGTTACTGGCCAGCTGGTGGGAGGCGCTAGTACCTGAGGGGAGGCAGTCTTTGATTTTAAAAAAAGTATGGTTCTCAGCTACTCATTTCTCCATGGTGTATGTCCTTCCTCAAATTAACTTTTTAGAAGAATTGTAAACTAGGTGCTGATTGGACAAAAACTTTATCATGTACGTTCATTTCCAACTTATTCAAAACTCGTGTTGCTCCAAATAAGGCAAGTTCGTTGACAGTATATATTTACATTGTACTTGCAACCGCATTGTTCAAAAAGTGTGTTTCAGATTGAATTATCTTAGGAGGATCCTGATTGGCTTACCGCCGTATCCGATGCCATCCTGGCTGGCCGTTGTGGCGCTGGCTCCAGTAGTGTCCACCTGCATGATGTTTCCGTATCCTCCTGAAGCCAAGGGTACAATAGTATGCAACCTTAGTGTAAGTGGTATTGCTCGATTTGACAGTAGTTGGTTTATATGGCACACTTGTTTTCAAGTAGCAAAATTTCATACCATATTTATGTTTACCGAAGGAAAACATATTGTTTTTGCTCAGTTTCTTCTTCTTCTCCAAATAGTGACCTCTGACCTAGTCAGTGACCTTAACCAGACCGCCTCTCACCATGGTAACTGGTGTTGGGTTACATCATGTTGCAATTTTATAGTAGGAGGGATTTAGACTCCAGTCACCATATATGTGAATGTGCTTGAGTAAAATTTAACAGAGCAGACCATATGGGAAGGTAAACATTATGCAGTTGCAAATGTTACTTTTCTAGTTTGTTCGTTTGTTTTTGTTTGTTTGTTTGTAAGGGCATCGCTTTTAAATGTTTACCCTGTGATTGATGAATACTGTTGCTGTAATTTACCAAAAGGATCTTGTATCACACTTACCGCTTCCACTTCCAGAAGTTCCTGTAGAGGAAGGAATTCAAGAAAAAGTCAGACCTCCCCCTAGCAGCTTTCGTGTGCATCATCAGTCACAATAGCACAGTGACTGCTCACATCTTGACCTATCAACTCATTGGAAATGATGCGACAAAGGCGATAGTATTTTAGTGTACTTGAAGTACAAGTGTACATCTTTAGTATTGTAATACTTATTTATCTTTTTCGTGTAACTATGTTCAAAATGGATTCATTAGGCCACACCGCCTTAATTTTATGGATGACATCCTCTGAAGACCCCCAAACTAGTGCGCGCGGGCCAAAAATAAAAATACTGCTAAACCACAGGAATAACAAAGCCGGTATTGTGAATTTTGCGCATTACATAGCGACGTATACGACAGGCGGCACATGCTGGCTTTTTGTGGAATTTATGAATCGACACTGTACGTATGTACTGAGTACTTGAGTCGTGGAGCTTCGGTAGCCTGGGTGCCGTCCTCCAGAGTTACCGCTGACTTCGTTGTCGCTTACCACCATGGACTACCCGGGCCTAAAGCCAGGCCAGAACCTCGGAAGACGTGATCTTTTTTTTTAGATCAGGTGAAAATCAATGCGCGCGCGGATGTCATCCATAAAATTAAGTCGGTGTGGCCTTAGGTAACATTGCAAATCCTTGAGCCCATCAAACAACCGTTTTCTTGGCCTATCAAAAATACACTCAGGAAGCCACGCCCACCTCCTGTCGATCCGCCGCCGGACGTAGAACATCCGCCCAGGTGGCAGTTGTAGCAGCACTTGACGTCATTTCCGTAGCTGGGGCACTTGTTGGAGACGAAGTAGTGGTACGGACAGGTGTCGACGTGTGCGCACTGTCCGTGCTGCCCGTTAGCTGCAACGCTGGTAGTGCACTGCCAATCATCTGTCAATCAATCAACCAATCAATCTATCGACCAATCAAACGTTTTCATTCATATACTAGTACATGGGACCCTAGTTTGTTCGAGACCTTGTAGCTGATGACTGATGTTGGAATGAGATTGCGCAATTGACCAATTTAAAAGCGTAACATATGTTCTAACAAACTGATGTCAGGTTTCTTTGGGGGCTAAAAGTGTGGAATAGCTGCCATACTATCTCTACCAACCAGCTTCCATCTAAACCTCGAGTAAAACGTTGCTCACCTGCAAGGGCACTGCCGATCACAGTCAACACCACCAGAAACAGCATCTATGTACAACAGAGGACAAAACCATTCTTACTATAGACCTGGCATAAAAAGTAAACTAAGTATGATGCAGCTATTGGCATGGAATAAAGAAAATTGTTTCTTCGTGCTTGCTGGAAACTGAGCTTCATTTGAGTCAACGTGGTCTGAAGATTGAAAGCATTTTTCAAGACGAAACTGCTTAAATACACGGTATCATCGCCAGCATGCTTACTTAGCATATGCCGTTCTAGTATTCCTCTAAACGACATACGAAGTTATAGATCAGCTGAAACTTTCTGCTCATCCAAAAACTCTATGTACGTATACTTCTGAAAGGCCTTCGTTTGTTCAGGATTCATGTAGGAGTTGGAAACTTGGAGTTCGTACCTTGAGAGTTGCAGATCGGTTATCCCTGGCCACCGTACTGCTACTGCCGGAGAAAATGTGTCCACCGCTCGCAGGGATGGTACGCGTTTATATAGGACCTGCTCATCGAGTGACATCTGTGCCGTCTCACGATGCACAAGTGTTTCTCCAACATGCATTCCTCCGTTTCCCTGGTACACAATCAGATCAGCATGTTATTGCTGATGTGGATATCTCTAATATGAAACTGCTGAGTCACTTTTACGGTTCCAATTAGAGGCTTTGTTGTTCCTAGTGCAACCCAACTATATTACATTATAAGAGCCACCCCTGAAAAAAAATTATACACGTAGTTAAGGTACTAAATAACCATGGCTGAGGACATTTTGGGTCTTTTAGAAATGCAAGTTGCAGTTGAGTATGGACTTTGAATTTTTGGTAGAAGGTGCGTAACCTACTAGATATGCTTTAAGTTTTTCACAGTTGATGGTGTCGATAAAGATTCGGGTTCCCCGCAATAGTATTTAAAAAGTTTGCTTATGAAAAGGATCATATTTGTTTACAGCCAGATTGGGGTATTCATGTTTACTCTTAAGATATGCAGTAGATTCTGCCCATCTGTTGCTCTTATACATGTACCTTACCTCCGGGAGGTCCCGCGATAAGGTACATGTACTAGTATTTGTCTGCCCTTTTTCTTTGTCCCTAAATCTAGGGGACCACATACGCGCGTGCTGTGACACATATCTGTGTCCATGTACATCTCCAGGCTAACCCGACCCTTCGCCATAATTCTGGCCATTTTGCCATCGGAAACTATGCAAAATGAGCCTCATGGTTGCCCCCTGGCCACTTTTTCTCCCTGTCTTGCAAAATTTTGCAAACATCATTGTATAGGTATAATGGAGACTGCTAAGGTCATGAAGCCAAACATGTATGCAAGTTGTACAAGGCGGCATACCAGACTACTTTAAGTAAACAACCAAAATGTTCGTCTTATTCATCCATTGTATTACTCAAAACATCTTTGTTGAAACAAAGGTAAGAACTCTTGCATCATCTTCAGATAGTAGATTTATTTGAAGATCATTTTCAGCTATTCTTTCATCATATGCATCTAAATCGCAAGATTGATGCTGCGTTTGTGACGGCGAGGAAGCTAGAAGCCTTGTCCCTTCAGCCACTGGGCGCGCGCGACGACGTCATTGGCGTAGTCCTCTCCGGTAGTGCCGCCGTCCATCCCGGCGTAAGTCTGCACGTTACCACAGCCGGCGTTGTACCCGGAAATTCCGCCTGACAAAGACAGATGACACGATCAATATCAAAGCCACACCTTGAAAATAACATGCATAAAACACGAGTCTCCAATGAGATGTTGGAGTAAAAAGTCATGATTTTTTTTTCTTCAAGGCCGGGCCTCTCGAGCTCTGACACTTGAACCACGACAGAGAAGCCCTGCGGCAAGGCAGAAATCACAACGATTCTCTACTCAACATGTACTGGCCTACTAGTAGAACATTGTATTAACATATTAGTAGCCAATACAAATCTATCAACTTATCAATTTGTCGAGTTCCAACATACGGTATCTTATTACAGCGGATAGGTTTATAAGCGTTAAACTTTGGGTTTTGATTGACTGAATCCTTAGCTTGTGAGTGATTTTTAAAATCTTCTATTCTCGACCAATTACAAGTTTTCGCTGAGAGGTCTTATTATGTTTACCGAAGGAAAACATATTGTTTTTACTCAATTTCCTCTTCTTCTTCTCCAAACACTAACCTCTGACCTGGCCAATGACATGATTTGTTGACGTCTGTCACCATGGTGACTGGTGTTGGGTTACATAATGTTGCAAACTTCATGGTCTGCTCTGCTTCTGTCACCATATACTAGTAGTACATGTATGTGAATGTGTTTAAGTAAAAATTAACAGGGCAGACCATGTCCGAAGGTAAACATTATGCATTTGCTTTGCAAATGTTACTTCTCTAGTTATAATTAGTACTACTAGTAATTAGAATGAGTGTCACTCTCCCCAATACGAACTGAGAGACGAACCCTTGAGAGTCATGTTGTTATCCCAGTTCGGGTGGTTGCGCTTCACACAGTTGATGGTGTCGATGAGGATCTGAGTTCCCTGTTTGATGTGCTCGGTACTGTACGGACCACCTGCAGGAGTGTGGTAACGGTAGTCCACCTGATAGGGTATAATAAAACACAGTTAGTCTGGGAGCCGGGACCATATAATAATAAAAGCTATACTAAACTTTGACAGAGTAGGCAACGTTTTTTGTTAATGCTGGGTGGTCATTATCCATAGAAGCCTCGTTTTCGTGCGATTTTCAAAATGGCGGCGGGACTGTAAAACTGGTCTTTTACACACATGGGTTTCCTTTTTCTACATGTTCTATTATGAACTTGAACAAGATACAAGCAGAAGAATCGCTACTCTCACAATCCACCAAATTGTGACAAATTACATTCAGTATTTCTTGGAATCTGAGACAACTGATAGCCATCCCCCCTCCCCCTTCTCACCTGCATGAGCCCGAATCCGTTCCCATTATCCCCTGTTCCGTCGGCGGCCAGTGCTGCGCCTGCGCGTGACTCACGGCTGATGATGGCGGCGATGACGGCGGCGTCCATGTTCTTGGCGTTTGCAGCGTCAAAAATCTGCGATTTGTAGTTGTTCAGGCGGCCCAAGTCGTTACTGGCCAGCTGGTGGGAGGCGCCAACACCTGATGGGAGGCACAAAGCAGCTTTTAAACTTGAAACAAGTCTGGTTCTCTGCTAATATTGTTCCATGGGACGTTCTTCCCAATAAACTTAAAAAAAAAAAACGCATTCAGCTGTAAACAAAAAATATTATACTCTGGTGATTGGCAGGAAACTAGATCAGGCCAAATACGGTAAGTTCATACATACTTATACCGTTATTGAAAAAGTGCGTTGCTCCAAATAAGGAAAGTTTGTACACACATTATATAATGATACTTGCAACAGCGTTGTTCAAGAAGTGTTGCTGATTGGATCATGTAAGGAGGATCCTGATTGGCTTACCGCTGTACCAGATGTTATCTTGGCTAGCCGTTTGGCCGCTTGCTCCAGTAGTGTCCACTTCCATGATGTTTCCGTATCCTCCTAAAGCCAAGGGAACGACGACAATGGTAGTGTAAGCACTGTCGCTTTGTTAACGCTCAATTTGACATAAATTGGTTATCACACACGTAAAACCATACCATACATACACAAGCACTATTACAAGACTATTTGCTGAGAGAGGTGAAGGAGGCTATTTACATCAGGGCCCACCACCCTTCACTTAACCGCGACGGGGGCCGACATCGTCTTACAGATACATTTGACCCATCGTCACACTTCAAAGGAGCCACGTGACAAGCCTCACTGCATGGGTCAGTCTACTGAGGAAGGCCAGTGACTGGTCGAAAGCTCTAGGTGAGAGAATTTTTGTGTTGGACCAAAAGTTTTAACTTTAAACACATACCATATTTTTTTGTTTGTTTTTTGTTTTCGTTTTGAAGGGTACTGCTTGTAAATGTTTTGCCCTGTGATTAATGAATGCTTTTGTTGTTATTTACCAAAAGGATTTTGTAACGCACTTACCACTTCCACTCCCAGAGGTGCCTGTATAGGGACGAAATGAAGAAAAATGTCAGAGCGCCCCCTAGCAGGTGTCGCGTGTATTACCAGTTACAACAGCGCAGATTCATATATTTTAACCTATCAATTCACCATTTATATTTGTAATAGCTACAGGTAATTTGTACTGTCTGTATTGAGAGGATTTGGTTATTACAGTCTAGAATATTGAAATTCTTGAAAATAAAACGATGTCTCTATCCTATAAAGCTGGTTAGGAGGCGATAGAATCGGAATATAGTGCAAGTGTACATCTTAATTTGGTAATAACTATAGTACTTTTTTACGTGTAGCTATTAAAAAGAATTCATTTAGTAACATTGTACATGTACATCGTTGAATATCATGGAATTAACATATCAAGTGAAAAATTATTCCACTCCACAAAGTTTATGTTGCGGTACATGCGACAATGAACTGCGAATTGCTAGCGTGTCAGAAAGTCTATGCCTATTTAGCTATTCACATAACCGTTTTCTTGGCCTATCAAAATATGAAGCCACGCCCACCTCCTGATGAACCGCCGCCGGACGTAGAACATCCGCCCAGGTGGCAGTTGTAGCAGCACTTGACGTCATTTCCGTAGCTGGGACACTTGTTGGAGACGAAGTAGTGGTACGGACAGGTGTCGACGTGTGCGCACTGTCCGTGCTGCCCGTTAGCTGCAACGCTGGTAGTGCACTGCCAATCATCTGTCAATCAATCAATCAATCAATCAATCAATCAACCAATCAATCTATCGACCAATCAAACATTTTTGTTCATACAGATACATAGGACACTTTTTTTGAGACGTGGACGCCGTTTGGGGGCACTGACTGATCGAACTACCAGCCGCTTTCAGTGCAAATCATTGTCACCCAATTAAATATCTTTAGGCCGCAGCAAGTAAATTTTATGGATGACATCCTCCGGCCGCAGACTCCTAATCTGATGCGAGCGGGCGAAAAAAAACAAGGTTCCTACATTTTAAAATTTTGACTCAATCATTGTACAAATGGTTTTGATTCAGTGGGAACATCACATATGCACAGCCATTATCACATATCACTGCATCAAAGTAAGAAACAGAGCCTTTTCTTGTCTCCTCTCTTCATAGTTATCTGCCACCCACCTTCCGGCAACATGGCAACAGACATCTTTGCCCATTTTCGGCATGGTGATTACTGTCAGAAGGCAACAAAATTTGTTTTTTTTTTTCCAAAATCGGGCGAAAATTAATGCGCGCGCTGATGTCATCCATAAAAATTACTTGCTGTGGCCTTAGTCAAAGTTAACCTTTTGCTAAATTGAAAAAGTTGTAATAGGAAGTCAGTACTTTTATTTTATAATGTGCTGTATATAGTTGTGCGTCTCGACATGAAATTAATGAAAGACAAAAACAACAATCACCCACCTGCAGTGGCGACTCCCACAAGGGCAAAAATTACCAGAAACATCATCTAAAGAGAAAGCAAAATCAGCCTATCATCGCAAACAACATGAAAAGCTAAGTTAGAATTCTATTCTCGTAACATGTAATGGTCAACATATCAATAATGGCGTAGCCTGGTATCCAGTCTGATCGTGGTCGGGGCCGAAAGAGCTCTAGCCCGCCCGCCTCACATAGGTTTCCCGGTGTGTATTTCACGAGAGATTGATTAGCCCTCCGAAACCCAATCCCCAAGCATACTGTCTCTTATTAGCGTAACTCTCCTACCGGGACGGCCCTGTTGCACTGGGCGGGGGAAGCTATTAGAGCCCCCGAAGGCACAACCTGCCTGCACACCCCAATACCCCCAATCACGTGAGACTGGATACCAGGCTAATAATGACGTATATACCAGCTGTTTTTAGGAAATAATTCTTTTCGTTGACTGTATAAACCAGAGAATCTTGAAAAAGGTTACCGTTAGAAACAATACCTGTATGAGTTGTTAAAACGTTGACTAAAGAAATAATACTCATAAAGAAAACTTGTAACAGAACATAAGATTCTACGGGTAAGAAGGCGGGCTCCCATCTGGAAAGCCAAAAAAAGTCTTCACCAGTCTGCTTTGCTAACCCAATGCTCAAACACATATCACAAACTAACAACATTAAAGCTGTCGAAAAAAGGGCGAATTATTTACAAGGATGAGTTTGTAGCATATTTCTGATACGTTTTGTCGTATTTTTTTTTATTGAATAAAGCAATACAAATACAAGGACGAAGTGGGACTGAACTCAAGTTATACAACTTATTTAACAGCCACTAAACATTTAACATAAATACAATAGTCATACAAATAGTCATAAACATAAAGTAGTACACTGAAAACTAAACCCCTATACATACAGCAATATATCAACAAGAGAAGTATTATATTATTTATATGTTACAAACAAAACAGAGTATACTGTGTAACAAAGAAACGTTTTTGCGGTATTTGCGAGAAAAAGTTGTCTAGTACTGGTACGGTACCTTGCTGTCTCTGTAAATTCGCGTTCTCGGTCGGCGAGGGTTCAGGTAGAGAGGGTAACTGAGTCCTACAGCCCGCGCGTGATCGTGATACTTATACCCGCGAGTCACCTGCACAACTCCGGAAACTTCCCACGATAAACTTGTCCTTGTCTTGATAACCTCGTCAAAATTCTAGGTTACAGTACTATTAGGCCACACCGACTTAATTCTATGGATGACATCTGCGCGCGCATTGATTTTCGCCTGTCGCCCTCAAAAAAAAAAAGATCACCTCCACCGAGGCTCTGGCCTGGCTCTAGGCCTGGGTAGTCCATGCTAGTCAGCGACAAAATGGAGCCGAGCACCCAGGCTATCGAATTCGAAGCTCCACGACTCAAGAACTCAGTAACGTTACATAAGTACTGATTCATAAATGCCGCAAAAAGCCAGCATGTGCCTGCTTTTATTTTTGGCCGGAATTTTTTTATTCGCCCGCGCGCACTAGTTTGGGGGTCTTCAGATGATGTCATCCATAAAATTAAATCGGTGTGGACTTATAGTCATTTACTGACAAGAAGGTTAGAATGAAATCTTTGTCTTACATATCACATACATATAATAAAAATAACTTCTACTGTATGTTATGTTTTGGTAATTCTTACCTTTTTATGATTACTGACGTCAACATCATACCCACGTACTTAGTATATATGCCTTCCTGTGTTGTTATTCAAATTTCCAGACGACCTTTTGCAGCCATAACCTCCAACCTATATATGTTTGAAGGACACCAGCACGTGTCGAATAAAGTCGCGTGTAAGCGTGTCAATGTTTGCAAATATAACCCTCCATAAGAAAAAATGGATTCTGATTATCTGGTTGGTATCACCGGATAATGACCCCCCCGTACGTTATGAGAGTCAATCCTGTGTAATTATAAAAAGAATGGGGGTGGAACGCCCTGACGCCTATACGAACAGCGCGGAACGCCTGACGCCTATGCGAACGGCGCGGAACGCCCTGACCCCTATCCGAACGGCGCGGAACGCCTTGACACCTATGCGAACCGGACGGAACACCCTGACAGCTATTCAAACGATGCGGAACTCCCCGACACCTATTCGAACGGCGCGGAATTAACGCCCTGACACCTGTCCGAACGGCGTGGAACGCCCTGACACCTGTCCGAACGGCGCGGAACGCCCTGTCGCCTATATCCGAACGGCGTGGGACGCCCTGACACCTATCGGAACGAGGCGGAACGCCCTGACACCTATCGGAACGAGGCGGAACGCCCTGACGCCTATCCGAACGGCGTGGAACGCCCTGACACCTATCGGAACGAGGCGGAACGCCCTGACACCTATCGGAACGAGGCGGAACGCCCTGACGCCTATCCGAACGGCGTGGAACGCCCTGACACCTATCCGAACGGCGTGGAACGCCCTTACACCTATCGGAACGAGGCGGAACGCCCTGACGCCTATCCGAACGGCGTGGGACGTCCTGACGCCTACCCGAACGGCGTGGAACGCCCTGACACCTACTCGAACGGCGTGGAACGCCCTGACGTCTATCCGAACAGCGCGGGACACCCTGACGCCTACTACTAACAGTTAGTATCCGAAAGGTGCGGGACACCCTGACGCCTATCCGAACGGTGCAGAACGCCCTGACACCTATCCTATGTAACGGTGGGGAACGGTTTCTGACATCCTCCTGTTCGGTTGTTAAGCATTGTGTCCAGTTTGGCACTATACTCTTTAATGCAAAAACAGCTTAAATTTCTATAGCCTAGGTAAAGGATCTCCCTTAAGGTCATTCAATTGGAGGGCAAACTGCTACTTCAAGCTATCTTGTCTCTATGATTATCTGTATAGACGTATTGATATACACAAAAAAGAACAGATTTTTTTGCTCAATAACCATTTATTTTTCATAATTTCCACATTCTCTGTACCATTTTAAGCCATACATTCTCTTTTTTCTCTCTCATCTTAAGGCCATCTTAAGAACACTTCAACCTGCACACACAGACCCTTACGCCGTAAGGTGCTTCACATTCTCAATATTCCACATATGCCAGATCTTATACAACACATTCCTTGTTGAGCTTTTAAATGCCAAGATAGTGAATAACATAGTGAAAGAGTAAGAAGCTGATTAATAATAAAGTTGATTAAAATAATAAAAGCAATAAAACATATCTCCCCTTTCCTCACTGACAAGATGACAAAAATGTGAGACGTGTAGTTTAAACTTTCTTCATGAACCATGAACTTTTAAATAAGAAAAATCACCAAAGCATTTGTCGTTTGCAAATTTTTCAGTGAAAAATTTCAAACTGTTTAAAGGTGAAGCAATGACTACTAGTGAATCCAGCTAATTGAATCTTAGTGTTATCCAGCTGACTTCTGTGTGTACGTAAGTAAGTAGATGTGTAACTTCTACTCATGACTGGCTGATGTACAGGTTGTTGTATGACCTTTATATGACCTTGATCGGCACACTACAACAGACGTTTGGATGCCTTGTCTGTTGTACATCCTCTCCTTATGCTGTATACCTAGTTATACAGATCTGTATTGGTGCATGAATCTGTATCTGATTGCAAATAAAGATCTCGAGTGATTGCCATATTTAGATAGTTACAGATATCTTTGAGGCAAGTGCAAGAATTGCTGATACAACTATTTGCTGTGTATACGATATAGAAGCGGTGTTCTTGTCGTCATCACGTGAGGTTGAGCGGGAGAGTACGCCGTCTTACACGTACGGCGGAAGGCTGTCTGGTTTGCGCCCGGAGGGGTACAGGGAGTCCAGCACCTGCGCGATGTCGTAGTTCTTGGCGACCAGGAGGGAGGACAGCCAGCCATTGTCATCGCGGAAGCCCATGGCCTCCATCTGTGCGATTGCCTCTGCCAGCTGTTTATCTGTAAACAATAAACAAAATAAAGGTTTGTTGCAGGTACACAGTACTTAGTAGACTACATTTTGTACATATAGAATACAACACGGGGTATTCCGTATCGCCCGAGGTACCAGCCCGTCTGCGCGTCAGATCGCCCAACGGCCGGAGGGAGATCCGATCCGCGGGAGGGCTGGGACTGAGGGTGATGCGGAATACACTGTGTTGTATTTTATTTATGTCATACCCACCCAAGAAAACACGCCTTTCAATGAGAAATGAGCGAAAATTTGGTGTCCCTAAACGCAAAAAATGCAACAACATCAATTGAAACGTCTGAATTTTGTATTCAAATTTCCGAAAGCAGTGCACGCGGTTAGGGCGAAGCGCGTTCGAATCATTCTATGGAACATTTGGAAGCCCCGGGCCCTACGCGTTAAGAACCCCCGGGCCGTACCACTAGTTATCACACAGGCCAGAACACCCGTATCGAACGTAATCGCGGCCGTAATCGCGACCGGTAGGACATAAATTTGAATATAATGTACACCAGCTGATGTACACAAAAGGTTCAGATTGTATTCCGTAGTAATTTTTAGAAAAGTCACTTGTTCTATGTCACCACTACGCTGTCTGTATACTCTGACATATTATGTCAGGTTGCAATTAGCTTTCGTGGCCCAGGATTTTGCAAAAATAAACAAAGGTGGTTGCAATAGAGGTGGTTGCAGAGAAAAATGGTATTTAAGGGTATCCCAACAAAGTACTATGTACTCATTGAAATCTGTCTATCAAATGTGACACATTAAGCATTTCTAATGGGCAAAGATTCCTAAAATGAACTGTTCTCTCATGTGGCCAAATGAAATGTGCATTGGAAATCAGTGACAGGGAAAGAAACAGAAATGTGCCGTACCGAACTCCGCAGCAGCCATGGCTGGGGGAGGGGCAGTCGGGCGGGAGGGGGACGGCTGGGTGGTGACAGGAGCGCCCCCTGTGCCTGCAGTTCCAGCAGCAGGTGGTTGAGCCGTCACCACAGCTTCTAACAGACATAAGGAGACAGATTGGTAAGACAGAACACCTCAAGGAATTGGAGAAAACAGGCAAAAGACAGAACCAACTGAGCATTGCTTGAGAATTAAGGCCTTTGATAATAATTTTTTTAATACAAGGCCACACCAAGTAAATTTTATGGATGACGTCCGCGCGCGCATTGATTTTGGCCTGTTCCTAGAAAAAAAACAAGAAATTCCGCTTCCTGTAACTATGACCAAAGAGTCACGACAGTGCCGCAAATCGTCAGATTGACATGAAACCTGTAACGCGAAAACAGGACAGGACGACAACTGCTGTTCCACCTGATTTATTGCTGTTTTGATGATGAATAAAAGACTTCTTGCTTGTTACACTGTGTCACTGCATTCAATTTGTGTCCTAACATTTATCATCTCTTAGTATATTTCTAATCTAGGCATCTTGTTTTTTAGGGCTCTTCTTGTTTTTTTTCGCCCTCTCGCATTAGATTTAGGGTCTCCAAAGGACGTCATCCATAAAATTTACTTGGTGTGGCCCAATAGTGGTAAACAAGAATACAATAGTGGTAAACAATAATACAATTATAGTGGTAAACAAGTATTTCTTGAGAAGGCCTTGATGACATTGCTTTTTTTAATACAATAGTGGTCTTACTATGATTAGGACTACCTTGGACAATACATGTATGGTGAGAGTTGATAGTGATAATAAAAATGTGAAATTTTTTGGTTAGTAGAATATTGGTCCGTGACTGTTTTTGAAAGCTAAAAACATGTACCTTCAAATTTTTGATGTCTACATCTTGATCACGGAGTGACCTAGTCTCGCAAGAACATGAGACTTAGTTCAAGACTTGTGCAGATCTTCTGGCCTCCCCCTTGTGTTCTCACTAGGTCACTCCATGATCAAAATGTACAGTCGACATCAAAAATTTGGAGGTACAATCATACATTTACATGTTTTTACCTTTCAAAAACAGTCACTGATTGAAGAATATTCTACTAACTGTAATCTTAGGCCACATCAATTTAATTTCTTGGTTAACGGATTTGCCTGCTTCATTTTTTTCTGATTTGCAAATAAACATATATAAACATTTTCTTCCTAGTTGTTACAGTTATTCCATCTTTCAATGCAGTAGTATCATTAAAAGTTCAAAATTCATTGTTTAAATTTTGAACCAGCCTGGTGTGTTGACTTCGTACCTTCGTTGCTCCTATCGTACCATTTTGGGCCATAATAGGATGCCTAGGCCTGTTTTTATTTTTTTTTCGCCCGCCCACTCCATTGTTTTTCTAGAAAAATCTGTTAACCAAGAAATTAAATTGGTGTGGCCTTACGTGACTGATGAATCTTTTCAACGTGTAACTTTTTACATTTGGAAAGGTCACGAAAGGATGTTGAAAAGCAAAACTCTGTACGTCTTGATGAGGCTTACCTTGCTCCTTGCGCTTCTGTTTAGTGGCCTCTGGTCCCTCCCCTGTCTCAGCGTTAGTGAACTCTCCCTCCTTAGGGCTGAGGTGGGTCCAGCCGTCTGCATCGCTGCTGCTGTCGTCCTTCGCCACCTCCTGGGTAAACATGTTTGTTTGTTTGTTTATTCAAATGCAACAGTGCATAACGAGTGGCAACCAGGCAGCAACAAGGCTGGTAGCGGCTACCACTGACACATAAGTGCATAAATACAAGACATATCAAAATACAATATAATTATTACATACAAATTCAATTCAATATAAACAACATAAACATAAACAACAAACATAAACATAAACAACAAACATAGGTAAATGTAAACAACAAACATAAACATCCAAACTTCGTCACTACCTCTGCTTAACACAAAGTCCTACGATTTGAATTCCTTCAGCCTACAGTTGGACAACAAAATTTAAAAAACTCCAAACTCTTTCTCTCTGCCTAATTCTCAGTGTCTCAATCCACAGACATTGTGTTAACATTATATTAGTTAATAAATTAAGTTAATAAAACAAAAAGATGAAACAATCAGGCTGTGGGGTCGTGTGGCATAACCAGAGCATTTGGCTCGGAACCAAGAGGTACCAAGTTCGAATCCTGCCATGCCACCGAACTTGGGAAAGTCACTTAACACAAATTTCCTCACTTTACTCAGGTGAAAATGATAATGTCTGTTGTTTGTTCATGTGTTTTTTTGCATTGGCAGCATAAAAATAAGTTGAAAAAAATTGTGTGTGCCATGTCTTGTAATAGATGTTGTAATAAAAAAACAACAAAACAACTAGAGAAGTAACATTTGCAATTAAAAAAATAAAGCAAATGTATAATGTTTACCTTCGGACATGGTCTGCCCTCAGGCTGTTAATTTTTACTCAAACACATTCACATACATGTACTACTGGTATATAGTGACAGGAGTAGAGCAGATCATGAAATTGCAACATTATGTAACCCAACACCAGTCACCATGGTAGCAGACGTCAACAAATCATGTCATTGGCCAGGTCAAAGGTTAGTGTTTGGAACAGAAGAGGAGGAAGAAACTGAGTAAAAACGTATGTTTTCCTTCGGTAAACATAATCAAACTCACCATGACCTCCTGGTCTGCTTGTTTCTCAGCCTGTTGCTCCTGTCCCTCCTGTGTTTCCATGGTAACGGGTACCTCCCTCTCCTCCTCCTCCTCAGCTCCCTTCTTCTCCCCCGCCATCTTTCCCTTCTTCTGCATTTTCCTCTGCATCTTCATGGCCTTCCTCATGCCCTTCTTGCCGCACTTTCCTCCTCCCTTCCCGCAGCCCCAGCCCCAGCCCTCCGCGCCCTGACCCTGACCCCACGCGCCCTCGAACTCCGCCCAGCGGCGGGGACACTTCCTGCGCTGGCCCTGGTGTTCCACGTCGATGTCGACATCGATGCCTGTAGAGGAACGATAACAGCAGCGTGATTAGTAAGAATGTTATCACATTCACAAAAAAAAATTGAATGAAGTGCTGGACCAATAAGCCGCTTAGAGATATAAGGCAAGCACTTTCATTGGTTATGAGGATGGACCAATCAGCTCCCTTCACAATTCAGACAAGTGTTTTCATTGGATGTACATGTGATGTACTTTTTTTGTCACCTCTGTAGGGATACAGGTAATCAAGAAGCTTAAGTGTGAGGAGCATTTAGGCCTAGCTTATTAGTGTGGTCCAAATGGACCGTTCCATAAGCCATCCCCCCCCCCCTTAGCAACGCCCTAGCAACGCAAACACGGACATTAACAATAGTGAGAGCTTATGAACAAATGGAAGAATAACAGAACGTCCTTAATCAACTTGAAAGTGCATGCAATGTCACAAATTCAGTTTGACATGTAAAACAAGCAGTTTTTATCAAGCAGACATCAATTCAGTTTGCTGCTTTTAGAATTAGATTTCCCGCGCTGAGTTTGACGGAGGTGTTCGAAATAGAACAGGGATTCAAAATAGGATTCGATGCGTTCGATCTGGAACGGTCTATTAATAGAGAAGCCTGAAGCACTACTGACCAATTAGCAGACTGCAAAGATAGGAAAATTAAAGTAATTAAGTCAGCAGCCAATGGAGAACTAAGTGCCACTAGCTCTACTAACCCAGGGGATCCAGCATGCTTGCCACCGCCTGTCCTACGTGCTGCAGGTAATCAAACGCGGGCGGGGCCTCACCGCCATCCTCACGTGGTCCAGCCGCTCCACCTGTCTCCTGGTTACCCTCATCACCTCCTGCCTCCTGATTGGTTGACTCCTGTGGCTCCTCCCCATCAGTGGGTGCCTGTTTAGCCTCCTCAGCAGCCTCGGGTTCGGCCTCCTCGTCACGGCAGCGGCGCCTGCCGTTTCCGTTGGGTCCGAACATCCCGCGGGCCCACTGACGCCACCAACGGCGAGGCATGAACCAGCCAGGCTACAGGAGTGACACAAATGAACATCAGTCAGAAATCATCTCCAAGCAGATAGCATTCAGTTTTAGCTCTCAGGATTTGGCTTTCTTTCTTTTGCTAATTCAGTAATTTACCCAGTACCACTACCAGTTCTGATTTTTACTGTTCAAAAATTAATGTCTAATTTAATTTATCAAGCTGGTAAATACATGCACAATCTTCAAATGTTTTGGGTAATTTTATTTTCAGGTCACCTTTCAACTGTAAATATGTGTTTCCATTGTATTACTCCATACTATACCGTACAACAACATTGTTCCCAAATAACAAAGTTAATGTTGATAAAACAACATGAAAGCATGCAAAGTCCCCGCAAAAATAAGGAGTACGTCTTACCCCTCCTGGTCCGAATCCGTGCTGTCCGGGGTAGTGAGGGGGGCCACCGTGGTGAGGGGGGCCATGTCCAGGGGGTGGGGGGTGTCCAGGAGGGCATCCAGGGGGAGGAGGGGGGCCAAACATCCCGGCGTAGAACGGGGGGTGTCCCGGTGCGGCTGGGTTCCTCAGACGGAGCAGCTCGTGTTCAGGGTGTAGACCCAGCCCCTCGCAGGTGCCACACAGGTCGAAGTCGGGGCACACCGTGCACTTGAAGCGTGACCCCATCACTGGGCCGTTACAGCCGTCACACACCACATTGGGGTGGAAGATTCCATCAGGCTGGGAGCTACCACCGCCACGCACTGTAAAAAAAAAAGTGCAGGTTTAAAAATGATTTATTTAAACGCAGAGATGTACAGTGTTCTCACCAGGTTTTTTCACAGTATAGGGGTCAAGTACAGAAGGGCAACTTTTGCTGTGCAAGTCGTGTATTTTCCCTTTGCTATAGCTTCAATCTAAAGTTATATTTTCATTTTTTGCAAGATTTATGAAGGTTCCCTAAAAAAAACACCCCTATGCTGCTTAAAAGACAGCATGGGTCCAAATCACAGCTATGCTCAAAAGGCCTGGCGAGAACACATGCATATTTTCCATTGCACTTACTGAAACAGCATCACATGCAAGTTGCTGACACATGCATTGACACATGCATTGACAATTGTAATAACTTTTCCTGCCCTTCATCCCAATCTTTAAAGGCTGATCATTGAGTCATTAGCAATTTTGCCAAATGGTTGACAAAAAGCACTAAGTTAAATGCTAATTCAATGTGCTGGTATTACAATGACCTACTAGTAGTGATGCATACCTAAACCCAATTTTAGGTTCAGGTCCGGATTCAAGTCCATTAGGTTTAGGTACAAGTCCGGACCTAAACCCATGCCATATACAAAATTGCATGTTAGCAAACTTGCAATGTTGTCTGGGTGAAACTTTGGCCACATGACATGGAGGCCGGTACTTGACGATGCCCGATGGCAATGTTTTCTTCGTTTTGCAGCAAAGATTTTAAAATCAACGGAAGGTTTTACGTGGTTTGGAAAGAAAAGGGGTAATATGTGAAATGGTCTTTTATGGTAATAAGTCCGGACTCGGTTCTTGACTTTTAGTTTTTTTTTGACTTGAACCTAAACATTCTTACAAGTCCGGATCCAAGTCCAGTGAACCGGTATGCATCACTCTACTAGTAGTAAGTACTACAGTTACATACTGTATATATTATATCTATTGTATCTTGATGATTTTGATAGTTTGATTAGCTAATACCTTTCACATAGATGCGGAAGATGCCATCATTGACCATGCCATCATATCCAAGGGCTTCCATCAGTTCCTCATCACTGGAGAAGGACACAAGGTCACCTTCGTTGTCTGCAAGGTCACAAAGATAACTGGTTAACCAACAATTTCACAAGATGACTCAAGTAGAATGGTTTATTATGACATGGCGCCATCTATGTCACAACAGTGGCAGCCCGCAGGCTGAATTGATGGTGTGATATTACATGACTACTGTATTAGTAGATTGACTGCAAAAGAGCATTATATACATTGATCAGCTAAAATCCGGAGTCTTACATACACAACGATCGATTCAGTTAGGCCACACCGATTTAATTTTATGGATGACATCCTCTGAAGACCCCCAAACTTGTGCGTGCGGGCGAATAAAAAAAAATTCCGGCCAAAAATAAAAATGCTACTGAACCACAGGAATACAAAGCTGGTATTGTGAATTCCCGACAGTACATAGTGACGTATACGACAAGCCGGCACATGCTGGCTTTTTGTGGCATTTATGAATCGGTACTAATTATGTACTGAGTTCTTGAGTCGTGAAGCTTCGAATTCGATAGCTTGGGTGCTCGGCTCCGTTTTGTCGCTGACTAGCATGGACTACCCAGGCTTAGAGCCAGGCCAGAGCCTCGGTGGAGGTGATCTTTTTTTTTTTTTTGAGGGTGACAGGCGAAAATCAATGCGCGCGCGGATGTCATCCATAAAATTAAGGCGGTGTGGCCTTATGTTATAAAATCAGTATACATTAAAATCGGATAAAAAATACATGTTATTTATCATACAGGGCAATTAACAACATTAATCACTAATCACACCAATTGAGACCACTTGTCATCTTACAAATGCCATCTTCTTTATCTGTGAGGACTTTCTAATTTATCAACTAATCAAACAATGGTATTTATATATATATTAACTAACCACAGTTCAGAGTTAACTTCTTAATGATTCAATTAATTGTCCTGGATGAGTTTTAAATGATTGAATTGAAGTTAAAGTTTTGTGTGGTGTTCTTATTATAAACATTCCAATCAAATTAATACTAGAGGGCCTGCAAGCCCTTTTTTGTACTTACATAATCAGGACGTTTTAGACTTCGTAATTCGTAGGCAGCCTCCGCAAAAATCAACGTAATTCGTAATTGGACATTAGTCGCAAATCGTAAAGTCAATCGGCTCTAAGACTTAAACGTAATTCGTAATAGGCGGCGAAAATTTTGCATAATTCGTAATCACTATCCCCCCTTGTAGGCCCTCATACTATAGATCCTTAAATCTGCTTAGACTTAGTTAGAGATATTAATACTCAAATCATGCCTCTAAAACTTGACAGTTATTTTTCATAGTGTGTGTCTTTTTAACTCATTCTCCTTGATGTGGCAGACTGCGTCATATCTATTTATACACCAACTAAATCTGCCGGCCCAAGCATGTGACTGACTGTTCCTGTTTTTCATGTTGACAGTAAGCAGCTACCAAAAGGTCAATTCTTCTGCATAATTTAACCAGGGTGGGGGAGAAATTACATCACCAAAAGCTAAAAAAAATGGATGTGTACATTTGTAAATTCATTTGTATGTTGGGAGTCAGTAGCTATAGGGTTTCATTGCGGTATGACACAATTCATACTAAGGCCACACCAATTTAATTTCTTGGTTAACGGATTTTTCTAGAAAAATAATGGAGCGGGTGGACGAAAAAAAAAATAAAAGCAGACCTAGGCATTCTATTATGGCCCAAAATGGTACGATGGGAGCCATGAAGTCAACACACCAGGCTGGTTCAAAATTTTAACAATGAATTTTGAACTTTTAATGATACCATTGCATTGAAAGATGGAATAACTGTAACAACTAGGATGAAAAGGACTGTTTTCAACTGTTCAGGGCAAAATATGAGCATTTTGCAGTTGATTCTGAATTTTTATTTTTTTTTGCAAATCAGAAAAAAATGAAGCGGGCGAATCCGTTAACCAAGAAATTAAATTGGTGTGGCCCAAAGTACAATGTGCAATCCCAGACTAGATGCAACATCCTGTTTTGCAACATGTGGGGCCTACGGTACTGTCACAAGACTAGTACTATGAGTCATCCCCAATTAGGAGTTGCAAAACAGGGCCTTTCAGCAATGGATTGCACAATCATGGGGCAAATTGCAATTCATATTGCAAAGGAATCTAAAATTCCCATTAAAAGTTGCAAAACAGGGTGTTGCACGACTGGATTGCACAGCTATCAGGCTGATTGCAACATGCTGCTTTGAAATCCAGCTGTCACATAATGATGAATCACCCCCATTTAGAAGGTGCAAAATAGGATGTTGCAAGGCTGGCTTGCACAACACTGGGGCAGATTGCATCATGCTGTGGCTCAAAACAGTGTTGCATGCCATGGATTGCACAACTATCATGATGAATCACCCCCCATAATTAGAAGTTGCAAAACAGGGCATTGCATGCCTAAGTGCAATTATGTCTGCACCCTCTGTCTGTGGCATTACCTTATAAGGCAATTGCGCATTGCAATGAGGTGCTCTAGATGTGCATGACTCATGCGACAAGAATGTTCTGCATTGTGCAACACATGTGCAAAACAGCAGAGCATTGAATTAAGACAGTGCATTTTGCAACATTTCCAGTATTGCTGTAAAATGGAATTGAGAATTGGAAACAAAATTGGCAACAAGTATTGAGATAGGACAGCCTTTACTTTATGAATTTCAAATTAATGTAGAAAAAAAATGACATTCAGTGACAAGAAAATGTTACATGATTGCAAATTGTTTACCATAGTAAAACTACAAATTGCACTTATGCCACAAAGTCTGCCAGTAAGATCACATCACTTGACTACTCACGTGGCTACTACCGCAACAAATTAAATGTCCAATTTTGCCATGTCATTCATCCACCATTGTTCAAAATACGTTATGGCGACGTCTAACTTTGTTATGTCACCCATCTTGGGCAAAATGGCGGCTGTCCAAATTTGCACTGTCACCAAACCCAGTGTAATCAAAGACTGGATTTTTTTTTATTTTTCAACATTTTGAAGGGTTTTAAAAGTTTTTTTGACAGGCCAAGAATAATTTGATAATTAATAAAATATATATATGAAGATTGTGATTAAAACACAAAGGTGAAAAATGGGGTTTATACCGTTATTTGAAGCTGTAACCTGAGATTATTAAAAGGCAAGTCCAGACGTGTAACTGATGTGATTTTATGCATGAATATTCATTGCCCAAAAAAAGGTTTCAAAGCAAATAAAGTTTTAAAATCATACGTCATACGTTAAACAGTGACAGCAAAATCCTAGTTAAGCAAAGTTTGCATTAATTCACTCAGAAATATTTCCATGAAACTAAAATGTGAAAATCAAAATAAAGACTTAGGGAGAGAGAGGGATAAAATTGAAACCTTAATACATATCAGACAGCCAAATATCTTTTTGACAATTCTATATACTATAAAAAGGAAATAAATGTTAAGATGTACACCAAAGGTTGAAAAGAAGCTAGGATTTCAGAAAAAGCGACCTCACCTTTCCAGAAAAGCTGGAAGTCTCCGGGCTCGTTGAGCGACGGGAACACCAGGGCCACCTTACGGGACAGGTACTCGTAGTTGGACGACACGTCCTGGTCGATCGCGAAGCGGCGGATCTCCTGGGCGGGCTGGTCGGCCGACCCGCCCGGCCGCTCCAGATAGGCTTTCACGGTGAGAGACATCGTCGGTTCTCGATCGGTTGTGGTCCGGGAAAACTCACTGCTTGCAACACAAATATCAACGTAGATATAACTCAGTGTCTTCACAAGTTGTGCTAGTAGTAGTAGAGTAAAGCTTGAACGTCAGGGCCGATCCTTTTTATACCCGAAATAGGTGCAATCCAGAATGTTTTAGAAGGTTCTATATGAGTAATGGAGGTGGGGAATAGCATAGATGACTCACCTAAGTGGCGCTGCAACGATGACACTGCAAGTTTTGCACCTACTGTTGTGCAACGAGTGGTCTCGTGACTATTGCGCAGCACGTAAACAGAGATGATCATTGAGTTGCACTGACCCAAACCAAAATATTTAGACATGACGTAATGTTTAGGTTATACCAAAATTAGCAGGTATGTAAATATAAAAGGTACAGTCTTAGATTTCGAAACTGAGAAGAAAAAGTACATATCATGTTAGGGAATAGTTAATAAAAGTGTAATATATAACATTAGTTTTCTAGATTGAAATCTATACCATGTAAAATGGAACATTACCTATGCCATTAAAAGTAACCCCTCCCTTTCAGTCGATAATGGACTGTTTTTGAAGAAGATACTACAATACTTAATTTGTAGGGTAAGATGTGCTCTCAAATGATTTCTTTCTATACTTAAATTCCATATAAATGGAACTAAATAACAACAGCTGAAAATAAAATGTTTACTAATTGATTTTCATATGATTATTTGGAGTTAATGACATGAACAGCTGGAAGTATAAATCTTCGTTAGATGTGGTCCCCTATATAATTCTGCTTGTCGGCTCTTCCACTTGGATTTTCTCACGACCGCATTCCAAAGTGTTAGAAGCACATTACAAAACTACATGGCACTATTGTAAGCTTTAGTTGACTTGCAACTATAGTATACCTGTTTAAAAACATTTCTTTTGTATTAGAAATGCACATTGTGCAAAATGTACAGGAAACACAATTGATTTTCAGTAATTTTGGTAGCGTTTGCTTGCGCTTTGAAGGCTCGTCCCAAAAATTATGCTAATCAGTCGTGACGCAAAATCATCCGATGTTGTACTGAGCGCTGATTGGTCAGATTCTCGTGGTCTGTGGGCTGGTATTTTCAACACTCAGGCAGAACATGGCGGCGGACCAGCAGTGGACGGGTGCGGACCCGGGTTTCCCGGACTTACCGCCTGACTTTAGCGGGAATACTGGCTTCGAAGATGGGTTGCTGGATGATATTGATGGTGGGTAACATTTTTCTCAAATTTAGAAGTGTATTTCTCTGTTTTGTGGAAGAGAATGACTGATAGAAGTGGCGATAGTGGGTGGGCGATTTTGGCCGCTTGGCAGACGACGCTAGTTGATTTCATTTGAGTTGGGTTGAGTTGCTGGTCGTTTACTCCTATTTCTAAAACATTTAAGTTCTTAAATGGTTCAATAGAAAATTGTCATGGATCGTGTGTTAAAAATGTATAGAAGAAAAGCCTTTAAAGGTTTGTTTTGTATTTTGATGAAGCCGCGAAAATATAGTTCTAGTAGCTTGATAGAAAAACCTCCAGCTATGTAGACTCGGTCCCCTATGGAATTATTCATACATGGGGAAAAGTTCTTTGTCCGCATGTTCAAGCTGCATTTTTAGAGAATAACGACGTTCCAAGTTATCGGTTATTGAAAACTACTCATGGTGTTGAAAAAATTATGTGTCTGTACGACCATCATAGATATTTTTTTTCAGCGAGCGCTCCAAAATTATCTATGCAAGCTTGTGTCAGGAATTATTCGCTGTCAACTCTATATGTTCCTGTAGCTGTATGAGACAGGTCTTTATTGTCATTGCTGTCAAATGCTACCATTTAAACCCTAGAAAGACGGAAGTTATTTTCCAGTTACAGAAAAGTCGCTTCCCCAGCACTTTCCCCCTTGTTTTGACTCTACAAAAACATCAGCTTTTTCGAGAACTGGTGACTTCCATATTTGGGTGGATGATCTAATCAGGAAACATCAGGCTACCCCGTCCTGACCAATCAGCGCCCAGGATTTCGCTGGTGACTCTATTTTAACCAATCAGCGCGCGAGAGTCTCCCAGACGACCCCTCTCTGACCTCTCCTCATGTTGTCCCTCCTCCATGATAAGATGTTTACATCAGTGATCAGGCCATGTGGGCAGGGCCAATGGGCAGTAAGGCTAGCTCTAGAGGGAAATCACCTGTTTGGGAATGAAGCCCAGATGCAGTGAGCTTGGGTGTGAAGGGAACAGGATCTTTCTGTTAGAGTGACCCAGCAGAGTTTTGCAGTTTTGCTTCAAGTGACTCTGCAGGACTTTCCTTTTGGAGAATTCAACTTTCATAGAGTATATAACAGTGATGGTTCATGCAGGTAACATTTTCAAATTCAGTAATGACTTTGCTGGTTGGCTGGTTGTGAATTGTCTAAAAGTTCTAAAAACTTTCTTTTTTAAACTTCTTCCAAATTATGATATTCTACTGTATTTAGTGCCTACACAGCCATTTTTCAAAGAGGCCCAGGTTTGATTTTTGGAGGGGGCGGGGTTTGTTTTTTGAGTTCATTGACCTGTAGCTAAATATAAATATATGTACACATTTGCTGTTGTAATAGATTTAAGACACAAATTAAATGTATTCCTTTTGTTGCTTTCTTTACACAGACATGCTCCAGCAGTTTGGGGATGGGAATGGAGATTTCCTTCTCAATGCTGCTCTCGATCCGTTGGTGGGAGGACAGGACACGTCGAGCCTGCTGTCCCCTCCCATCTCACCCCCCAGGGACCAGTTCAACTTCAGCATGAACCAAACCTTACCACAACCCCCCTCCCAGCAGACCACCGCCCCCCTCCAGCATTACGGCGGGAACGGACAGAATGTCTCGCTGCAGAATCTTCTAAACACGCAGCGGAGCGGCAGCTTCAGTCCCAACACGGGCGTGCAGGTGCAGCAGCTGTATCAGCAGCCGCAGGGTACGGTATCTCCAGTGCAGCAGCTGCAGAGACAGCCGCAGCTGTCCCCAGCCAGCCAGGCACCTTCTCCTCAACCTGTACAGCAACAGGGACAGATACACCAGGTAACTTAAGTTAAAGTTATCCTCATTGTTTTTTTTTAAATTTGGAATTGTAGTTTGCTTAAAACTTGAAGCTGTTAATGGTGGCTGGGTTGACCCCCTTTGCCACAAAAATGAATCTAAGGTACAATGTAAATTTGTATGGCCCAAATTCATGACATGACAGAAAAATGTAAAAGACCTTGTAGAATAACCAATTGAGAATTGGTACTGGTAGCCAAATAGCTACATCAGACTTCAATGTGCCAAAGCTTAAGATTTTGGAAGTAGAAAGAAAGCTGTATCTTATTGTGTTAGTGTCAACTTGCACGGAGAATATGTGGTGCTAAAAGATATGTCCTTGTTTTCCTAAGGTGGTGATCCAGCCTCAGGTATTGTCAATCATCAAGACAGACTCCTCAACATCCTCCACGGCTACGACAGCTGCTGTCTCGGCTCCGCTGCAGACAGCTGTCGTCAACGGCAACACCATCCTCACAACCACCATTCCCATGATCATTGACGCCGAGAAGCTGCCAATCAACCGGCTAACGGTGGCCAAACCGGCGTCTCCCGTACAGAAGGTGGAGAAGCGGTCCTCCCACAATGCCATCGAGAAGCGCTACCGTAGTAGTATCAACGACAAGATCATCGAGCTGAAAAACCTAGTCGTGGGAGAGGAGGCTAAGGTATGTTAAACTTCTCTTCTTTACTGCATGCTAATACTATTGATAGAATTGTAGTAAAATAGATGTTACCATGGAAGAGATTGAGCTCTTTATCCATTTTGTAACAGAATGTGAATTGTATAGCAAAGAGAGAAATGAACTGTATATGTTTGTACAACACCTGTTCCCCTATTTCACGCACTTAACTACTGTAGAAAAATTCATATTCCTTATGCGACTAGACAAACCACCCATCAAAAAACAGATCTGTACGTTTATTTCTGCAATAACTGAAAAGCGAGGAGAAGTTGCAGGGTTCGAAATACTTTTTTTCAGGTACGTGCAAAATTGCACATTGGCAAAATTTTTAGGTGCAATTTGAAAAATTTATGTGCAAAATTATATTTAGCCTTGCATCTTTAGGTTTGGAACTGTTTTACTGTGTATCAACCTTCTTAGCCTGCCACTGCATATAGAAGTTTTAGTATACATTAAAAAGAAGGGACCAAACAAAACATGAACAATGCAAGTATCATCTGTGTTTATAAAAAAAAAGAACACAAAAAAAATTTGTCGGCATTAGCTTCAAAGGACGCCGCTAGTGACCCCCGGCCCTCTCACTCGTCATAAAAAAAAATTACCAACAGTATGCGAGCAATAAATTTCATTTATTTTGTATATTTGTTTACCTTGAATATCGTGCACGATATAAGGAAAAAAATACTGCTTAGAAAAAAATAACGTCCGGTTAATTTTTGCTTCTTGGCGCTCCCCTCCCCCTCCTCTGGGGGCGCGTCGTCAACATCGGCCGCGGGATCCTCGGAGACGGTGGACCCGGTGGCATCTCCCGATCCACCGCCCCCGGCTGCACCAGCCTCTGGTCCACCGCCACCGGCTGCACCAGCCTCTGATGCCGGCTGGGCCCGTGAAAAGAACTTGAAAATCGACCCCTTCTTCATGGGCCCTTCTTCATGCTTTACAAATTTCCTGGGTAGCACTGAATGCTGGGAAATCCGAAAACTCTGTTTTTCACCGAATTTTACCGAAAATTGGACGAAAAAGCCGAAATTACTCTGCCGAAGGACTTCGTACCACATCGGGCAACAAGTTTCGCGGGTCTCACCATATTTGGTAAATCAGCTACGTAGGCCTTCGCGTCTTGCCATATTAGGTAAATCATTACGTAATGCCTTCGCGTCTTCACCTGGGGACGAGAGCAGCTTGTTCCCAGGATGTTCAGTAAAGAAAACAATATGGCTGCCATGCGCCCAGCGCGATGCCGACACACAAGAAACTTCGGAGATACGCAGTGCAAACATGATATATCGGTATTGTCCAGGTGCAAAATTGCACATTCAAAATATTTTTAGGTGCAAATCTTGAAAATTACGTGCAATTTGCACATTGCACCTTTGTATTTCGAACCCTGAGTTGAATTTATATAACGATAGTTACATGTAGTTAATTTTGTACCTGTTAACAGTGTCCATTCATCTTGTTTTGTTGTGACCTGTGCTTAGCCAAGTGTGGTAGAAATGTGCAATAAAGGTCTTCATTCATTTAATTATCTTAATCTATGAAGGGTTTGCAAGCAATGATTTGTACCATTGTATACTACAGATGAACAAGGCTGGAGTACTGAGAAAAGCCATTGACCACATCCACCACCAGGAGAAGATTATCAACAAACTAAAACAGGAGAACCTGCAACTCAAGATGGCTCTACAGAAAAGAGGTAGGCTGGTTTCCCACTCCAGCATATTGTTTCATCATTTGTTTGTCATTTTGTTGTTTGAAAGTGCCAATGCAGTTTTTAGCGATTGTGTGGATGTAAGCATCTTATTTTGTTTATTTGTGTTCTAGCGTCATTGTCGGAGTTGGTCGTAGGAGGGCAGACAGAGGCGAAGGTGGAGACACTAGACATGCTGACACCACCGTCATCCGAAACTGGCTCCCCCCGGCGGTATCTCTCGGAGTGCAGCAGCGACTCGGAGCCTGGCAGTCCCGAGAGCATCAAGGTAGGGATCCTTCACTTGTTCATGTGCAGTATTTAATTCTAAAACATTTAGTAAAGCTTGTTCTCAATTAAATCGCTACTATATAATTCATTTATTTGAGAATCTTCCAGTTTTGCACTGGGGTAAGTGGAATAGTCCACTTTTGCGTGGGAGGGAGATGGACTAAAAATATGCTGTATTTGCTCCCAAGCAAATGTCGGCCTTTCTAGTTAATTCTGATACATTATAGATAGGCCCTTTAATATTGACATGCTGATTTTTTTTTTAAATCTTCTGGAGGACTGAAATATTGTGTGGACAACCATGCAGTAACAGTTTTCTTTCCCTTTCAGGTGAAAAAGGAAGAAGATGCCTTCAACCCCTGCGGCCTGTTGGACAGAACCAGAGTCGCCCTGTGTGTCTTCATGTTTGCCTGTCTGGCCTTCAACCCATTCGGCACTCTGTTTGGCGGGGTAGGCAGCAGTGGTGGTATCGGTGCGGACTACATGCAGGCGCACAACGGAGGGCGTATTCTGCAGGGTGACTTGTCAGGTAAGAACAGTACAAAAACAATTTTTTCCCTCATCTAGTGATGTTCCTATTCAAAATGGATTCTTACTTAGTGGCATAGTATATTACTGTATGCAATTTACCAGACTATTTTTGGTGACACTGCAGTGTTGGAGCCTATAGTCCTGTATTAGATTCATTTTGCAAGCATGCAAGTGTAGTAATTTTTTCTCTGTTTCTGAACAGATGTAGAGCTGAGCTGGCAGGAGTGGCTGTTCCCCACGCTGTGGCTGTGGCTGTTGAACACGGTCGTGGTGCTGGGCGTGTTGACGCGGATTCTCGTGTACGGCGAACCGGTGACCGTCCCCCGCACCAAAGCCTCCACGACATTCTGGAGGCACCACAAGCAGGCAGAGGTGGACATCTCCAGGGTAAGGACACTTTCTGCATCTTCTTGTGTATATTGCTGTGCTTGTGCGCCATCTAGCAGGTTTAAAGAAAATTGCAGATGTTTTCAGTTACTGTAATTCCTGATTTTTTCACTGTACTGTTATGTTCACTGTTTTCACTGTCACTTCTGTACCGTGAACTTATCATTACAGTTGACAAAATTCCTGGACTTCCTTTTTCCTGCACCTGTCGCCACCGTGAATATATAGTTCCGTGAACATGTCCATTTTTCTCAGACCATAAACTTTTGCTAGAGTGAACATAAAGTGAATTACAGTATGTATGGTTTAGCCAAGTGAGTGCAGTCCATAAAATGTATGAAAAAGATGTAATTACATAACTGAAAAGAAAGGACTAGTTTGGGTGAACTTCTGAATATTTATTGTTAATCTGTTATTTCCAGGGTGATTACGCCTCGGCCACACAACACCTGCGGACCAGCCTGACCGCGATCGGCCGCCCGCTCCCCACGTCCAAGTTCGACCTGGCGTCCAGCCTGTTCTGGAACCTGGTGCGGCAGGGCCTCCAGCGGCTGTGGATCGGGCGCTGGCTGGCGGGCTGGGCCGGTCGCGGCAGCGGGAAGGAGCACGGGAAGACGTCAGCACGCGATGCGGCGCTGGTGTACCACAAACTGCACCAGATGCACATGACAGGTAAGAAAATAGACCTGGAACACAGACCAACTTACCAGTTTTTGTCATGTTCAACTTTTTCAGTTTCTTCACGTGATTAGTGTCAACTTGTGCTCTCAGTTCAATTTATTGCTGCTGAAGAAGAGTGACGGATGTCACTTGAAACGTCTGGAAGAAATCTTGTTATTTATCCAATAGTGGAGTTTGAAATGTCTTCAGTTGAATAAGACCTGAAACTATCACTTAGTTTCAACGCTTAACATGTAGACCATGTACTAACTTTTCTGTAAGTATTTTGCTGTACTAAAAAAGCATGATGTACAATGTAAGATATTCTTCTCTGTGTTAGAACTAAAGGTGGCTGCCATTGTCTTCCTAAGCAATAGTCATATTGTGGGGTCGTGTGGCATAGCGGCTGAGTGCTTGACCTCTTGGGTTCGAGTCCTGACATGCCACTGATCTTCTGCCCTTGGGAAAGGCACTTTTCACGACTTTCCTCACTTAACTTAAGTGAAAATGAGTATTGTCCTGTCCTGTATTTTTCCTCTGTGTTGGTGGCGGCATAAAGTAAGTTAAAGTAACTTGAGTGTGACGTCACAATGCCTTCTGATATCTAATGGAATAAAAGAAAATAATAATCCTATTATTTTCCTACCAGATCACCTCCCGTGCGGCCGCCTTGCTGCCATCCACATGGCCTTGTGTGCTGTGAACCTGGCAGAGTGTGCAGAGGAGAAGCTCAGCTGTGAGGCCGTGTCCGAGATCTACATCACCGCAGCCCTCTGTGTCAGGAAGAACTTCCCAGAAAGGATGCACTTCCTCGCTGTAAGTTCTACAAAAAAAAAATTTATTCCTAAGGCCACACCAATTTAATTTCTTGGTTAACGGATTCGCCTGCTTCATTTTTTTCTGATTTGCAAATAAAAATAAAAATTCAGAATCAACTGCAAAATGATCATATTGTGCCCTGAACAGTTGAAAACAGTCCTTTTCATCCTAGTTGTTAGTTATTCCATCTTTCAATGCAATGGTATCATTAAAAGTTCAAAATTCATTGTTGAAATTTTGAACCAGCCTGGTGTGTTGACTTCATGGCCCCTATCGTACCATTTTGGGCCATAATAGGATGCCTAGGCCTGTTTTTATTTTAATTTTTTTTCGCCCGCCCGCTCCATTATTTAAAAAAAAATCCTTTAACCAAGAAATTATTAAATTGGTGTGGCCCTAACAAGACCTAAGTAGTGTTTTCAGGGCTTGAAATTATCATCTACTGAAAAAAATTGTTTGGGAGTTCAGGGAGCTTATTAACGACATTTGGCAAACTGTAAAAAGACATGATCTGCAGTGTTTGTGATATGATTATTATGATTTTGTATTATGACATGTTCAGAAAACAGAAATGACTTAAATGTTCAGGTAACAAGAAATATTTTGACAGTCACATTTTACTGTAAATCTAGAAATTTTTTTTTGCTGTGACTTACTACTGTAATTCACTTTATGTTCACAGTAGGAAAATTTAACAGTCCGAGAAAAATGGATGTGTTCATGAAACTATTATGTTCTTGGTGGCGACAGGTGCTGGAAAAAGAAAGTCCAGGAATTATTTGTTAACTGTAATGATAAGTTCACGGTACAGAAGTGACAGTGAAAACAGTGAACATAAAAGTATGGTGAAAAAATAAAAATTACTGCTAAATCATGACACTAAGAATGAATATAAAATACTTGCTATTGTATTTTTCAGAGGTACTTCCTGAGTCTAGCCCGGCAGGTGTGCAGTTCGCGTGGTGAGGAGACCCCGGCGTCGCTCCAGTGGCTCTTCCACCCGCTGGGACACCGCTTCTTCGTGGACGGAGACTGGGGCTTCCAGGAGATGGACAGCATGTTCAGCTCCACTGGCAACCCAGGTAAGGGAGCAAACACCTATTTTTACCTTTGCCGAGGAGGTTATGTTTTCAGTAGCATTTGTGTGTGTGTGTGTTTGTGTATGTGGTTTAACACAGTAACTCAAGAAGCTTTGTATGGATTGTTATGAAACTTGGTAGGTGGGTAGGTCTTGATGAGACCGTACTGCAGCAAAACTTCCGGTTTTGATACCTCACGATCTACACATGTTATTTTGTACTGGATTTGACATAATTTGTGACACATGTCCTATTGTTTGCTTCACTTCAACTAATGATAAAAAAGATCTCTACTCTTTACGGCAAAGCAGTGCATTTTACCTGTTAGTTTTTTTTTTAGCATTAGACCATAATCCACAAGTTTCAACTGAATTCCTGTAAATTTACCCATGGTTGTCTTGTCCTTTTTTCCAGTTGACCCTCTGTCCCATCTAAGCCAAGCGTTCCGGGAGCACATGTTGGAGAAAGCCCTGTACTCCCTGGTAACACCTTCCAACGCAAACAACAACAACCCCTCCATGACAACACCCGACACCGAGGAGAAAACAGTCAGGTCAGTACAAAATTTGTTCATGTGAGCAAAAATTTTTGATCTGCCTTTAAATACAGTAAACGTCGCCACACTTGTGTGTACTGAAATAAGTTGGGAGCTGTAACTCGGGGTTGGACAAGTCCAATTGCCCACTTGCCCAGGGCCAAGTAAAAGTATTGTTCGGGCAAGTGCATGTGCCTCTAGACTAAATTTTTTGGATGAAAAGTATAGCCACTACGGTGTTTGGAGCAAGTCAAACCACCTTATATTGATAAATAAAGCATCCAACATTATAAACTCCAAAATAAGATAATTTCCTTGGTTGTAGTAAAATGTATAGAAAAATGTATATTTTGGGCAAACGAAATATTGGTTTGGGCAAGTGGAAGTGGATTTTTGAAAACTTGTCCAACCCTGAACAGACAAATGATACTGAAAATGTCTATTTCCCCACAGTTGCACGCAGCTAACGGATACACAGGAGTATCTCCAGCTCCTGAGCGAGTGTGCGGATGCCGCGGGCTCGTCCAAGAACGTCACCTTCACCATATCCTCCAGCATGGCGGCCATGCCCGGCGTGGACGGGGTCGGGAAGTGGTGGTACTCCGTCCTGAGCGTGGCCTGCTATTGGCTGGTGGGGGAAGACGACGCGGCAGAGAGACACTACGCCGTGGTGGACAGTCTACCCAAACAACTGGACCAATCAGAGTGAGTAATATCTTCTCTCTTTCCAATTCTCACATTCTTTTGTTGGATCATCTTAATTCCTAATATACATTTCTTTTTGGTTTTGTTGTCAAAATCACTCTATTAGAAAGAAAAAAAAAGAAAGGTCTACCCGTGCCCTTATGCAGAGCGTAGGGTGGTGCCCATATCCATTTCTGTAGCCCTTGGGCGACACACAGTTGTGCAATGCACTACAGCAGGAGGCTAGTCCGCTGGTAGTGCTGTGTGTTTGACCTCCCACACTCTTTCTCATATGTGCTGAGTGCTAAGCAGAGAAAGAAGTGTGTACCATTTTTAAAGTCTTTGATATGACCTGGCCGGGGTTTGAACTCACGACCTCCCGGTTACAAAGCGAGCACTCTACCAATTGAGCTATTGCACTCTATTAGACTGTAGAAAATGCTAAATCTTATCCTTTTCAAAATATTTTCCAGGGATATGCTGCCCAAAGCTGTGCTGTCTGCCTTCCGTGCTCGCCGACTGCTGTTCAGCGCAGGGGAGGACAACAGTCACAGCTGCCTTCTGTACTGTGACAAGGCAGGAGCGCTGCTCCGACACAGCATTGGCATGGTAACCACCAAGGAACAGCAGGCGTCCAAACAGGTAGGAAGACCTCTATGTAAAATGTGTGCATGTGCATAACTGTTAGGAAAGAAACTTACTATGATAGTTCTTTTGTTGTTGTTCTTACTGATACAATGTCTCTTGGTAGCTTTTTCTTGCTATCTTATTTTAAGTTAGAAAGATGTCACTAGCCAGTTGTGAAGTATACATTGTAGATAACACAAGTTTTACAACTTTACTGGAAGAAAGTCAACTTGCTTGACAGAACACGATTGCAGATTTGCTAGCTGCAATAAAAGTAGACTTCTGGTTCCTTTACGCTATAAAGATCAATAAAAACTTGTTAAAAAGCTAGGTTTAGATTTAAATTACATGTCTTGGCTAAGGGTAAGACTCAAAAGCTGCAGGCAGGGAGGGATAGACGGACAGCAAAAGACCTGTTGCTGGGGTGCATTGTAGTTGCATTGCATGTGTGTTCATTGCTGCAATGTAACTGCAGTGCAGCCCAGAGGCAGGAACAGACAACTAGACACTTGGGCGTAGAAGAGACAACAAGAGGAGGGGTTCTTGACAGTCCATTCATGTATATTGCAGTCCAGCAGTTCTTAAACGTGAAGCACCTATGTTCAGTGCAACATTCTTCCCAAGTGCAGCAGACCATGCCCGTAGCCAGGATTTTGAGTGGGGGGGTTCTTCCCACTGCTTGAGGGGACCTTGAGGTTCCTAGGGGGATCTGAGGGCATGCTCCCCCGGAAAATTTTGAAAAATGAACCTTCTAAAATGGCATTTTGTGCGTTTTTGATAGGATTTCAAAGAAAAATCAGAGATAAATTTTTATTCAATGACAAAGGGAGCAGTTTTTCTACGATTCCAGTCCATCTTTTCAAGAAAAATCTTGGACCTTTACATGAAAAGTGGACCAAAAAGTGGACCTTCACATAAAAAGTGGACCAAAAAGTGGACCTTTGAGTGGAACCCCCTCTGGCTACGGGCATGCAGATTGCAGCAGTTTTTGTGCAGTGCACCTAAAACATTCTTCACCAGTTCCAGTAGGTGTCTGTGCCTGACGAGCCCCAGATGTGTGCAGTTCACCACCTCCTCTCTGTGGCTGAGGTGCATTGTAGTTGCATTGCATGTGCAAAAGTGGAAGTGCAATGTAACAGCAGTGCAGCTCAGACACGGTTGCAATGCAAGGACAATGCAAGTAGCTGCCCAAGACTTAACTAGTATCAATAATACATTGTAGCAAGCAGATATAATTTGATTATTTTTTAAAATCCAGTGAGTTTCTTGCTGATCGAATTGTTAAGGTTAAGGAGTCATAGACCAGCATTACAATGGTATTTATGAATAGGGTAAGAGATAGACATTAGACATAAGACTTGTGACTATTGGACAGTGATATACCTTTTCATATGTTAAACCAGCATGATTTCTTCATTTTAGAGTTCATAGTTTTAGCCAATGAACAGAAATCTTATGTTTGTAACTTTTTTGCGTCCTACAGGCTGTCCAGCTGCTCGTCTGTGATTGGTTGCTGTCCACGCGGACAGCAGTGTGGCAGATGGCGTCTAACAGTGGCTGTGCTCGACCAGCTGAGCTGCGCGGCTTCCAGGAGGACCTGGCCAGTCTGAGGAAGATCGCACAGGGACTCAAGCCTGCACTGTCACGGGTAAGTCTACATACAGTCTCTCCTAAAGCAGTGACTCATGTTAATGTTGCAGACTTTAGTGGCCAAGTACTGTATATAGATTTTTGTGCTTTCGTGTTCATGTATAAACCATAATATTGCAGCTCATCTTTGCCATGTATTTTTTATTTTGATTTGATTGAAATTGTAAAAATGTAATAATACAATACAATGCATGTGGGACACAGGCAGCTGTTGCTGTTGTTGTGTCCCACACATAAAAACAATTACATTTATTTTCGTTTGAGTTAAGTGTGGAAAGTCGTGTTAAGTGCCTTTCCCAAGGGTACAAGATCGGAGGTATGACAGGACTCTTGCTTTGTAGCAAATCACTGTAAAAAAATTTGTAGCATCACTTGGACCTGATAGATTTTAAGTTGAGAGGATGAAAAATCTAGTAAAGTATGAACATACCAAGCATATCAATCAATAGGTTGTGCTTATAAACCTGCATTTCCCCTCTGGTCTCTCAGTCACTGACGAAAGCTAGTGGATACTACCTGAAACGTCTGACGTTTTCAAAATCATATCCAGTTGCTTGAGTAACTGCTTTTTGACGTATCATATTACCTGGATGTCTAGTCTTCACCGACGTATGTCATAATGAACATACTAATTATGCTCAAACGTTTTTTTTTTCAAAGTTTTTTTTCTTTTCTTGGTCTGAACAGGTGTTCCTTCACGAGGCCACGGCACGACTTATGGCAGGTGCCAGCCCCGCCCGCACACAGCAGCTGCTGGACCGCAGTCTCAGAAGACGCAACGTCTCACAGAAAGGTCAGTGTCCTGGGCGTGTCTATTACCACTTGAAACTGGTCAGTGTTGGGTCTGGAAAGGCACTGGGAATACGAAAAACAATTTTTCACAATCAGAATCTGTATGACTTTACAATACGACAAACGAACTCTTAAAATATCAAATGATATTTTGGTTGTAGGGTAAAGCATCAGGCCTCGAAATTAACTTTTTTTACTACTGTCCCAGAATTGTCCCGAATGTTTATTTCAATTGTCCCGAACTGAAGATAGACTGGCCCAGCCTGCTTTTCAGGAAATAAGTTTATGACTAGAAATAAGAAAACATCAACAACTGACTTTGTACAACTTGAAGTCCACTTTATTAGTAAATGTAGGGAAATACATGATAATATCATGGCAGGCCCCCCTCCCCGATATTTGGAATCCCTGATTGGTCAAATTTAAATGTTTGTCAGAGTATTATGGGCTGCCGGCAGTCTGCAGCATGATTTGTAGATCGCGTTCCTAAGTGACGTGGACGGTCTCAGAATTTTCCAATTGCCCTGATATTGTCCCGAAATGTAATTTGAATTGTCCCGAGCTGAAAATTTAGTGTCATTTGACACTGGGACAATGTTAATTTCGAGCCCTGAGCATCTATGTTTTTTGTGTGTGTGTATAAGAAAACCCTTTTGATTTGCGAAACAAGATTGAACTACAATTTCCAACACAAAAAATAGGACTCACCCAAATTTTGATTTTTGCCTTTTGCATTAGCTTTTTAATACCAGACGTTCTTTTTTAAAGTCCTTAAATTCCTTTTTTTTAGTTTGCACCCTTATAGCTTTTAAACATGTATCAAATTAAATGTATTTGAAAATAACATGATGCTTACATGTAGTTAGGAAACAAACTAACTTGTGCAAATTCTTTTTCTGTAGGTGATGCCACAGCCTTCCAGATCGGTGAGCGCGAGCGTGCGTCTGCTCTGATGATGGCGTGTAAACACCTCCCCGCGCCCGTCCTGTCGTCCCCCGGCCTACGGGCGAGCATGCTCAGCGAAGCAGCGCAGACGCTAGAACACCTCGGCGATCGCCGAGCGCTACAAGACTGTCAACAGATGATTCTCCAGCTAAACGTTTCGCCTGTCTCTAGTTGAGACAAAATTCCAAAACCTTGAAAACTCAGCGATAGTTGTTAGTGATGCATACCGGTTCACTGGACTTGGATCCGGATTTGTAAGAATGTTTAGGTTCAAGTCCAAAAAAACCTAAAAGTCAAGAACTGAGTCCGGACTTATTACCATTAAAGACCATTTCACATACCCCTTTTCTTTCCAAACCACCAAAAACCTTCCGTAGATTGCAAAATCTTTGCTGCAAAATGAAGAAAATATTGCCAAGTACCGGGCTCCATGTTATGTGGCCAAAGTTTCACCCAGACAACATTGCAAGGTTGCAATTTTGTATATGCCATGGGTTTAGGTCTGGACTTACAAGCCCAGGAACTGAACCTAAACCTCTGGACTTGAATCCGGACCTGAACCTAAAATTGGATTTAGGTATGCATCACTAATAGTTGTAAAAGTTAGGTAAAGAAGTATCTAACTGTTCAGAAAAGAAATGTTCCAACTTTTTTGTGTTAACTTATTGTGAAAGAATATTCGTGCTAAAGGTGCAAGTACTTATTTCTGATCGTGAGACCTGAGAATTTTCCAGTTGCAATTTTGAATGCAAGAAGGTGACTACTAGTAGATGGAATTTAAAAGTTGAACCAATCAAGTGTAAGGGTAATTAATTTATGTGGAGATGTGAAGTTGAATTGGTTCAAGTAAGATTTATTACATATTGTGAAGAAGTAATGAGAGGTATGTGGATCTAGTTTGTATATGTTGTTTTGTACTTGAAATTGAATCACACTCGATGTGTGCAAGTATGTGTCAGTAAAACATGAAAAGTTAATACCTGACTGCATGTGTATTGCCTTGCCTTGCTTGTTCTGTTGCCTCGACATTACAGCTACAATAGTCTTCAAAAATAACAGAATTTCATCACTGTAACATTGTGCATTGAAATCACACCTCTAATAATGCTTGGTGTGGTGAAATTGACTATCAAATAGAGAACAGCAGATTGGTTACATTAACGTTTACTTGAAGCTTTATACTAAAATCATTTTATCCACCTAGTCTAGAAAGACAGTACACGCTATTACGTCGGTGAAAGTTAGACATCCAGGTAATAAGATACGCCAAAAAAACACGCTATTCCATGCCTGTATAGGCTAGTCTGAAATTGGGCTAGATACCTGCATACATGGTACTAGTATACCTGTATACATTGTACTAGCATACTGCATACCTGCATACGTGGTACATGTACTAGAAGAAGAAAAGAAAGGTACTAGCAAGGATATCCCACTATTAGTATTAGGAGACAATCAATTTACTCAACGAAATATTATAAAGCAAAGCATGCATTTAAATCTGAATCGCTGTCGATAGCACTTGGTAGAGCCAAGGATGTTCAAAAGGAAGTTTTAACTCCATCGTAGAGCCTGCAACTAGGCTAAGCTAAGCCGGTAGTAGACCGGACATGCACGCCACCTAGCGTAATTTCTGAAAACTACAGCACGTAGCACGCCAAAACTCGAGTCAGCTGGCAAATCTTGAAGGTCTATGTCAAACCCGTGTAGTTTAAGAATGCTTAACTTTCTTCTTTAAAATACAGATGAAACCACACGCATTTTATTAAAAATAAAAGTCAACAACGTCACGTGACAAAATGACGGACAGTACATACTCGTATGCGTAACACCTCCGGTATGAATGCCCGGTTAGCTCAGTCGGTAGAGCATGGGACTCTTAATCCCAGGGTCGTGGGTTCGAGCCCCACATCGGGCGAATCAATATTTTTAATTTTTTTTTTCGTATTACATGTATATGAGTCATTGTATCCACCGAAACTGTTTTTAATCGTTTTCTATTTTTTTTATTTTTTAAACAATAAACAAGGCGGCCATAACAATTTGTCTACATGATAGTACTGTGGACGATCAGTTAGTACATGGTTAGGCCACACCAATTTAATTTGTTGGTTCTCGGATTCGCCTCTTCGTTTTTTTCTGATTTGCAAAAAAAAAAAAAAAATTGATTCTGGTCCTGAATCAACTGAAAAATGCTCATGTTTTGCCCCCAACAGTTGAGGAAAGTCCTTTTCTTCCTAGTTGTTACAGTTTTCCCATCTATCATTGCAGTGGTTTAATTAAAAGTTCAAAATTCAATGTTTAAATTTTACCCCAGCCTTTTATGTTGACTTCATGGCTCATTCCATAGCATTTAAGTCTATAATAGGATGCCTAGACCTGTTTTTATTTTTTTTTCGCCCTGTCGCTTCATATTTTTTAGGAAAAAATACGAGAACCAACAAATTAAATTGGTGTGGCCTTATCTGTTTCTTGACTAGCAACTTATGTAATCATCATTGTAGAGTGCTTATCACTGGAATTTATAAACCAACTTGGGACCAGGTGACCGCTGAGTCTCTGACCATGTTGGACAGGTGTCAGACCGCTATGGCCAATGGGAAAAATCCAAGGGATGGACATGAAGTGACCACTATGGCCAGGTCACTACTATACAAAGGTACAGGTTTCACTGCACATGTATATGTATGAGCTGATGCTTGGAATAATTTTAAAGAAAAAATTATTTTCTTCTACTGACTTTTAATCTACATGTACTTGTATTTATCAAGTGAAAGGATATAAACAAGAAAAACACAGCAACCTCACAGACAAAGTATACATGTACATGTATATTCATCTTTATTCAAATATTTTATTCAGGTCATTGTCATCTGATCATTTTGGTACTTACATATGTTTCAGTAATGATCCACAAAGGCTACCAGGTTTATAAAGTACATTATAATTATATAGGAACAGTATAATAGTCATATGAACTACCAAATGTGCAGACATTTTTCTATTCAGTCCTATGACATTTTGAAGATGTCCCCCTCATCACTTCTTCTCTCCTCAGCTAGCGTGCTGTAGTCTCCAAGTTTGACTTCATACGTGTGTCCGTGGCCATCTCTGGGCCTTCCTATCTTAAGCTTCGTGTTGTGTATCTCTTCTGTCTCCTCTTCCGAGAGTTGCGGGAGTTGGACCAACGGTTCTAGCCTCTTTCTGATGACCAGTTCGCCGTCGGACTTGAGGTAGCAGCCGTCGTACTCCTCCGGTCGCGGCACGCCGTTCTTGAGGTTGACGGGAACGATGCGGATGAGGTGTTTGATCTGCCACAGCTTGTTGTTGACGCTCGGCGTGTTCCTGAACACGTACATCTTCTTCATCTGGGGAGGCAGGGAGGGAACGAAAGAATGGTCAGCTTGGTACACACAAATTCAGCTTTCTACATGTATAACTTACATGTAGTACTGATGGTAATGGGTATAAGGTGGTTCTCGAATAAGATTGAGCATACACAGTGTCAAAAGTAAAGGCTTAATGCATATGTATACTATAATATATGCTAATTCTGCTAAATAACACATAACATTCAAAAGAACTGTTGTGAAAGACTTGTCAGCATGTATAGATATCTCACAATTACTTCACATTTTGTTGGTGTTATGAGGATGACTAACAATAACAAACAACAATGTTTGGGACCACTTTGTTAGTAGCACTATGAACCAGTAATATCTAGCTTCAGTGAACAGCCAACCAGTCATTAATTTATATATAGCCCTGATCATCGTAATGTCAGCTTGTGTGCAAGAAATGGTTGCGAATAAAAGGCCTTTACTATCTAAATGTTCACCAACCTTATGAAATTAATTATGGCCCTTGTTAGCACAATGAAGCTATTTATCTATCAAGGCCAGAACAACATGAAACTTGACATCAAGGAGCTTATCTCCCATAGAGGCTTTTCATTGACGTAAGAATAATTATCATATGAATCTGACTAAAAGTTAAGTTGATTAAGTAGCAACTCCTAGCATGTTGGCATGTTTAACAGACTGTTACTGTAATCCAACATGGTGGATGTAAAAAGCCTCTATAAGCTACATCTACTGGAAATAAATTAACAAAATCATTGTTCTAACATGAAGTTCCACACCTTGTCAAGTTTCATCTCTTTAACGAGGTCTTTAATCCAGTATGGCTGACGGATGGTAGACTTGACCCTCCACACGGCGTGGAGCGGCGCGGCACGGTCCGCCATCTGGTCCGGGGACTCCGGGAACTCCGGCCAGACCTGGTGCGGCGGCGGCGGCGTCTCGTTCTTGTACAGCTTTGTCCGTACTGACGTCTGAAGGACCTGGGTCACGTTCCTCAGGAGGGTACACTGGGATACAGTAGGAAATGTACATGTGGTCACCATGTACTTCTGTGTAATGTTTTAAATTGGATAGCATTACTGGGTTGTTACTTCACCAATCAATGGGATTGAACTTTCATTGAAGTATTACCAGTAATAGCATGCATAGTTCTCACCAGGCTGTTTGAGCATAGGGGGCCCCTACGCTGTGATTTGGACCCCCTATACATTGTGATTTAGCCCCCTACACTGTTTCAATGGTAGCCTGGGTGCCATCCGAATTTGTAACGGCTACCCCCAAAAAAATCGAAATTTGGATGGCACCCAGGCTATTTCAATGGGGGGCTAGAGGCTTCATAAATCATTAAAAAAAATGAAAATATAACTTCAGCTATAAGTTATAAGAAAGGGAAAACAAAAACTGTCCCCCAATAAAGCAAGAAACATTGTCTCAGGGGGTTATGAGTTACAAAATTTTGTGGGGAGAATACCAGAACCCCTGCTGTGGTCATATTTTGGGGACTCAATGAGGGACTTGCACTGTAGAAAGTTGCCCTTCTGTACCTGACCCCTGCGCTGTGAAAAAAATCCTGGTGAGAACCCTGGTATAAGTAGACTGTATTGTGCATATCTGTAGTGTGAGTCTTAGTGTCTGTGTATGTAAGACGACATCAATTATATACAATATGATGGCAAGGCGTAGGACTACCGATAGATCTACCTGACAGACACACACTGCCGCCTACCATAAGTCACTCAAAGCAGGACTCTATGTTAGGCCACACCAATTTAATTTCTTGGTTAACGGATTTTTCTAGAAAAATAATGGAGCGGGCGGGCGAAAAAAATAAAAAAAATAAAAACAGGCCTAGGCATCCTATTATGGCCCAAAATGGTACGATAGGAGCCATGAAGGCAACACACCAGACTGGTTCAAAATTTAAACAATGAATTTTGAACTTTTAATGATACCATTGCATTGAAAGATGGAATAACTATAACAACTAGGATGAAAAGGACTGTTTTCAACTGCTCAGGGCAAAATATGAGCATTTTGCAGTTGATTCTGAATTTTTATTTTTATTTGCAAATCAGAAAAAAAATGAAGCGGACGAATCCGTTAACCAAGAAATTAAATTGGTGTGGCCTTAGGCAGAATTTTTTCTTCCCATGAACGGCCCGGGACTGGAATACGAGTGATCACTGTTTTTGTTTACATCATACAGATGCAAATTATTTGAACACATATGCAAATCATTGGTAGGTAAATCACCCGCTTTTTGCCTAAAGTGACGGCATGACGGTCGCTCGCCACGTCTCAACGAAGAGACTATCCACTCTTCCTACTTGGAGGCGTTCAAGGCCAGGATCTGACAACCTACCTTTCACCTAACGTTACACGCGGCAGAATCTTCAAAATCTGTTGAAGGCGGCTGCCTCAAACTTCAAAGTGTCAAACGAAAGAAGAAGGTACGTGTGTGTGTGGTCTGTCCAACAGTCTGTCTGAGTGTGATTCTTCCCAAGTCCAAAATCAGAGTTACCACACATCCCACGTTATAGCGGTGAAGTCTGCTATCTCTAAAATGACTGTCTTTAGAAAATCTTTCACCCAAAGAGAGGACATGCCTGCCAGCCGCATGACGTAAAATTCTCACTCATTTTCGCAAGGTATCACAGAAAAGAGGTGTTTTGAAAGCCTAAAATAATTATGAAAAAACGCCTAATACATCTATACAGAAGTACAAGAAAGAAAGTCCTCGATAAATCAACTACTGGGCCAAATATTAGCAAAAATTTGAAGGACAAACTACGAAAAATTACCTTAGTGAGCGCCGCCATCTTGGACTTCTTCCCAGGGCAGTGTGTCCGTCTCGTTCCCAGGACCAGGAGGTACGCAAGTAATTTCCAAGCAGATGTTGGGATGAACGTTCATGAGGCCTTATGACGGTGTAGTCCGTTGTAAAAAGGTGACGAAGGGGTTTTGAGGGCCCAAGTTTGATGTGACATTTCTCATAAACTGCCACGAAGTATCATTAAACATTAACATGGCTGAAGAGTGTAAGAAATGGTGATTTGGGGGTGAAAATTTCTTTTGGCTCCGAACCTTACTTCCGGGTATCCTTGCGCGCCAAGTGTAATCCGCCCGTTTGACCTAGATTTCGCTCTGCGCCTTCGTATGGGTGGATTTGCAATCCCTCGCGCCGTGGACTGTTTAGAAAATTACAGTACTAGAATTTTCTTTATAATTTACTCGGGTATAGTCAAGGCTTGGGTCTTTCTGCCAGCATCAGTCATTTCTGCCGGAAAATTTTTTTCTATGGGATTATCCTAGGCGAAAATTCGCAATTTTGGGCATTAATTTTGGAGTGAAAATAATGTTTTTTTCCGTTGATTTTACCAAACTTAAAAAGGTTGAAGAAACCAAACTCAACTGGTCTTGTAGCTGAAGAGATATCCTTTCGTCCCATATACAGTTATTCTCCTTCCGAATTATTCCACGCCAGACACGGTCGCTAGATTTGAGGGTGTGCAGCTTCGAATAGAGGCCCCAAATAAACTGGGGTGTGCCCCCTTAACGTTTTCTGACAAAAGAGATAAATGGCAGGGAGTGCAAAACTTAACATTATGGCAGACATGAGTGATCACCTGGTTGTGGATTGAAGGTGTTACACAGCTGACAAAAGTATATTATTAAACGTAATACTAACGTTAAGAATCAAATAAACAATTCGCACCATGAGGGCCGATACTTTTCGTTTTTTATCTATATCTTGTGGACCTCGTTGGACTACTCTGGAGAGTTTTGTGTCGTGTATTACGATGACAAAGAAGACCAGATTGAAGTTTGAAGTAA